TGAGGTTTGGAAGTATGAGGTTTGTGAAGACCTGGTATTCTTGAAGAACAGCAGTTCAGGTTTGTGGTGAATTGAAATACGAAACTCTGGACTCAGAAAATGCAGCCGCAGTCCCGACTCTGGGGAAAGGGGTTACATCTTACATGATGATTAAGGATTACGAGATGGGGGCTATTTGGCGAAGACGGCTGGGATATCGATTTCATACGGTGTGATGATGTCGTTGCCATACTGATCTAAGGATATCTCAGCCGTGTGTCCCTTTTGCGTGTCCGTTTCAGGAAGTACGTCTTCCCCTTCCCTCCAGTCCATAGATAGTGTCGACATGTCATTTTCAGGGCCCCTTTGATATACCGAGGCCAGCCACTACATAACTAGCCCGCGACGGACTATGATGCCGACCTATATTTGCCTACCGATCAGCCTACTTTATCTCTACTTCGATGGGCGGGAGGTGTGGTAGAATATGTATGTCAGTAAGTCGGCGCAGCGGATGAGCGCTGCAAGGGCACCACTGCAAGGAGAGAACCCGTTTCAAAGAAGCGCCACGGAGTTCAGCCCGATCAAAGGAGGGAGGAGGCAAGAGAGTATGGGATATGGGTGCACCATCCCGAGTTTTTCGCCAGGTCCTAAGTCTGGCTGGGGGCCGAGGACGAAGCCGGGCCTGTTGCTCACCACCATCCGGCCGCGTGGTGAGGAATCACTGAAGAGTTACCTAGTTACCTGGCTTGTCATCTGACAGACAATAGCACCGCCAGACCGGTTGGATTCTTGACGCTATATGCCATGGTGGCAGGAGAGTTGTCTGCTTCTCGTCCCCTAAATCCTGGATATGGTCCCAATGCTCGTGCCCGTCCTTTTTCCTGGGGCACAGGTTTCTGAACCTGTCATATTCCATCGCCTACGGAAGATCGGATCCCCCGGTTGACATTTGCCAATCGAAGCCAACAGTTATATGTTGGTGTCACGCTTTTGCAAACGATGTATAGGCCGTGCTAGGGCAGACGGAGCCTCCGTCGGTGGACGTTCGTCGACCAGTTCAAGCCCGTATCACTATACCTGCCAACTTCGGCCTCATCGCCGCCATCTTCTCTTCGCCAGCGTCGCCGTCGTGCCGCCGAACTACCCCTACAGGCCGTACGGAGCATAGAGAGTATATCGTAGACGGCGGCCGGCTCCACCGGCTTCACCATCCCTCTCCTCCGCTGCCCACTGACTCTAAAGCTTAGCGATCACTGCGCACTGTTGCTATCCACTTCACTAGCTAAGAAACAAACAACATCATGGACCACTTTCTCTTCTCTAGCGCCTGTCACTTGTGGGGGCTCGACGTCAAGCAGAAGCCAACAAACGGCGGACGACCAGACGCGAGAATATAGCGCATCCCAAGCAATGGTTTAGCCCTGGCAACATCCTCTGCGGCCACCTGGACGACTCCATCCGTTTAGGTTCAACAATTATATAATAATATTGTAATGCAGGGCAGGCTTGGGGTAGGGAAACTAGCGTCCAGGAGATGCCAGCCTTTTGCCTGCGCTCAGCCAGCTGGCCGGCGCTTTGGTGTTTGTCCATCGTTGACGCCGCAGCCATCTCTGCATGCATGGCAGCAGCAAATTCCACCGCTGCTGGGTTCCGCAGCTCAGGTCTCAGACCCCCCCGAAACAGAGCCGGCCGTTTTCATATCGCTCATCTCTCGCTCTGCACGCGCAATCTCCTTGCCGTCTCCTTAACGAAGGGCGAGATACAAACTTTCCCTCTGACGAAACGTAACATTTAGCAGTGGAATGAGCAAAAAAAACGAGAGAGAACCCAGAGGGAGAAATATATTAGCGGCAAACACTAATTGCAGCAAGCCAAGCTCGTTCTACCCTAGAAATATATGGTAGTTATATGGTACGGCCGAACTCGTTCTCCAGCACCATTTTTGCCTCGAACCCGCCACAACGGAAGCCAGTCAGGTCCTCAGCTCTGGTGTGATTGAGGAATTTTGCATCCTGGCTCAGATAGGTTTGTAGATGTACCCAGAGTACCCTCTCTTTTCTTTTTCCGGAGGGTGTTGGAACTCGTTAATCCCGTCTCCTACACCCCCCCTCCGCATGACATGGGAGCAACTTCAGCGGCAGTGAAGGGGGTTGCGCAGAGAAGCGATCGACTGGCGTACCGTTCTTGACCACCAGCAGGCCTAGTGGGTTATATGTGGCATGTATGTATGTCTCCTGTTGGGGTCCAGGAGGTCGCTATGCGGTACAGCGTCCCTATTACTTCCTGCATCTGTTGTACCAAAGGTCGAGGAAAGGCGTTGATCACCATGTCAGGATCGGCTTCAGGGTGCATCCTGGACGAGTCCGGTCTCTTTGCAAAAACAACCCCTAACTCCTATCGTGCGATTTGAGAATTCCGGACAGCAAGTTGGGAAAAAAACGTGTTGAGTTTGCACATTACTGGCCAGGTCAAAAATACATCAGGGTCGCCGTCGTCTCCCCAGGCTGGCATCCCTCGTCTTGTCAAGCTCCAACTCTCAGGCCAAAGATAGTGATGGAGCGATTGCGAAGGTTGAATCTAAGGCCCGTCGATGTGACTTCGGGGTATGGCTATAGCCTTTAGCTGGATGTATCCCGTTCGCCTGGCAAAGGGGGCACAAAGCGTACGAGATACACGAATAGTGGAGAGCCCGAAGAGGTATCCAGGTAGCCAGTACTTGGTCCGTTCTATACATGTACTTTCTACTGTATCTCCACATCTGTAGAACCAGACTAAGTCGACTAAGTTACAGCCCAGCGCCTGGCTGCTCCAGCCATGTCTATCAACCAGACATTGCCTATACACATTTTTTAAGGTCCTTTTATGCTTTGCAGATGATGAAAAAAATAAACCCCCAACCACTCCCTGACATGCATGTACCATTCGATCTTTAGCTCTTTTTACCTTTCCACTATACATACATACCCGCCGCGGCGGCTTTAATTATCGCCTTCGTCTTGACTCTGGCTGGCTTCTTATATTGACATGAGTGGAACCCCCCGTTCTCTCATAAAAGGTTTCCCTTTATATCATTCTTCCGCTTCCCCCTCTCAACTTGCATAGCTCCATCCTTCCAACGTCGAGGGTTCCAAGGCCAGCCCACTTCTCAATTCTCAGTCCAACGGCTATCTTCAATCGCTACCTCGCGACGATTGCTCTCCGTATCTCCACCCTTGCTCGCCGCACCCATTCTCTAGGACAAGCTGCTGTATAGTACTTTGAACAAAAGAGAAAGAGGAGGAAACAAAACAGCAGGCTCATAGGGGAAACCGAAACAACTGACAAGGACAAAACCGCGCTATTATCGGCATATTCTATCCCAGCTGGAGTTGAACTCTTCTTCCTGATATTCCTTCTTGTTCATCCTTAAAAAGAGGAAGCGGGAAGACCGTCAGAAATTGGGGAGCCCATTATCTGCTGTTTCCGTTGACCAGGTTAGTACAAAGATTTCTCTTATCCACCCAACAAAGAGCGATCCAGGAGGGGGAGATATGTTCTTCACTTCACACCCCTTATTTTGATACTCTCCACAAGGATCATGTTTCGTCAATTGTGTCTGTCTGCGTCCAGATGTAAAGAGAACAAGAGAAGAAGAAAATAATTTTTTTTAAAAAAAAAATAAGATGTGCTGACTAGATGGGGGTATGTTTTAGATTAGGAAAAACGGTCAGGTCAAGCTGGCCATCTGCATGTCTCTGATTCGCGCCAGAATTCAAAGATCTCAGAGAGAAATAGGATCTTTGCGAATCTAGTTAATTTTTTCACTGCCCCAAGCAGCCAAACGGGTGGTTGCAACAGTTCATCAAGCTGGGAGAAACAGCCAGGGCTCCACCCGCATCTGCTATATTATTTGCAGCGCTGGGAGGTTCCCTTTTTCATCCGCATCGCCTATTCTCCTCATTCTTTTCTCACTTCGCCCCTTCACTGCTGCCTCAATCACTCGCTGAATTGTGGCAAAGCGGGAAAATACCATCTGTCCTCAACTGAGAGAAGAGCCACGAACACAGTGAACCACCAGAAGAAGGAATTCTCCAGTCTATATTCACCTGATAGAGCTCCATTGCGGAAGAACCCACCAGTACTTTTCGTTTCTCCTCCGGATTCGGAATTTCTTTCACCAGTTGAAAGGTATCTCCTACCAGGTCATCGCATCGCTGTTTTCCTCTTCCTCCCCATAGTCACATTGGACACTCTTCTGCTCCCGGCTGTCTGTTCGTCACCTTCATTGTGGAGAACCCCCTTCCTTCCCCTGAAGCTCGATCATTCTTTTTATCCACCAGCAACCTGCAAGTCCTGGAAAAAAAGGCATGACCATAGATCTGCCCCTGGTTCTTGAACATCTCCAACAGCTCTGATCCATCAAATGAAACACCAATCAGGATAGCAAGGTTCCCCCCAGACACCATCAACGACGCAAAAGGAGGTAAAACAACCTGAGAGCAGCATATTTTTTCTCACTTACCACGGAGATTCCCTTCACCCCCTACTAGCCCCTCTTTCCCTCAGGTCTGCAAGCAATTTCATTCATAAGTTGCGAACAAACCCTTCTCTTTCCAAACCCCCCCATCTGAATTGTGGAACATATTTCCCTTTAAAACATTGAAGAGGAAAAAGAAAAGGTTATCTAGCTGCTATTGTTATCATGTTCAATCAGCAGCCTCCATCTCCTCCACCATCGAATGACGGCGACGTCAAACTCAGTCCTCAGGCACTATCACAGACTGCCTTTCAGCAACAGACATATCCTCATAGTGAACCACAACAACCACAACAGCAGCAGCAGCAACAGCAGCAGCAGTTCACATATATCCCAGCAAGTGGGCCATTTTCATACAACTGCTTGGAAGTAGGTACTTCAACGATGGATGGACCAATGGTAAGTGTAATATACCTAGCTTGGCTAGGGCCTGACATGATTTAGCTTGGAGCTCCAACTGACTTGAAACTTGAAATATCAGAATGGATATACATCCAACCCCATGTATCGCAGTCTGACTGGAGGTGATTACCCACAGGACATGTCACTTCCAATTTTGGTAAGCAAAAGAAACACATTAGACCAAATTATACATATCGAAATGTAACTGACCATTATCATATCACAGACATATCCTCGGGCTGGGCAACTTCCAGTAACAAGTGATGTTACCAATGAGACAGTAGAAAGCCTCAAGGCAGGCCTAGCTGTTCCAAAGCCAAATAGCGATGACAAAGTACGAATCATAAGACCCGCAAAGCTCAGACGGCGACCAAAGCCAGCAAAGGTTGACAAGGGGGATGGCCCAAAAGTTGATGCACCATTAAGTGAACTGACGAAGAATATGCCACATATTCCAATCCGTGACATGGAAGCTTGGGTGAATCGTTCTGCAGAGACTCGACTGAAAGAAGTGAAGATGAAGAATGGCAAGATTGCACGACCAATGAACTCATTCATGCTATATCGATCAGCATACGCAGAGCGAACAAAACAGTGGTGCGCGCAGAATAACCACCAAGTCGTCTCACGAGCCTCTGGACAGAGCTGGCCCCTTGAACCGCGTGAAATCCGAGATCGATATGAACGATACGCAACCATTGAGCGAGATAACCACCACAAAGCCCATCCGGATTACAAGTTCGCACCGAACAAGAATCAAAATACACCCAAGCAACAGAGTGGTGCCAAAAACCAGACCACCCCGACTAAGAGAAAGCGTTCTCACGAAGAAGAGCTCAGTGACTTTGAAGACCAAGGCCTTGATATCACCTCCTACCCCCGTCAAGCCAACCGACGACGAGCCTTCGGTCCCAGCAGTGACGTTAACCGCAGCCGAACTTCGACACCAGGCGATGACAGCACATATGAAAGCCGTCACCCCACTCCCATGGGTCACACACATGCTGACATGTACCAGAATGGAGATGCAAACCGCTCATCGTGGGAGATGATCAACCCTGGCAGACCTCACCCTGGTATCCTATCTCCACCACAACAGACACATTACTACCAGCCATCTATACACCAAAGCCTCCTAGGATCGAATATCGAGGACGTGACGTATAAGAAGATCGGAATTCCAGGAGGAGTGAACTATGAAGCCGCCGGACCAATGACTAGCATGCCAGGCAACCCTCATCCAGAGCTTCTTCAGCCACAGCCACTCTCCCATAATAGACTCGCCGTCTCCATGAGTGAAGTCCAAGTCGATCCCCAGTTGCTGGCCTTCGACCAGTCGCATACTCCACTCCCAGCGGATAACAACGGTGGCTTTGGAGGCCAAACCGACTTTTGGCAATTTCCTCCATCAAACAACAACTATGTCCATGGTTACATGTCTGGGCCTGAAACAGACCAATACCATCACGCCGCACTTCCGCCATCGTCAATGGCTGGGTTGATGACTGACCGCGAGATGTGGGGTGATACTCAAGGGTTACCTCCGCCAACATGCGAGGAGTTGAATGAATGGTTCAGCGGATCGACTGTAAACTGATCATGGTCGACTAACCACGGAATGATCAAACGAGACAAGAGTGTGTTGAATAGGCACCTACCACGCGATGTCCCTCGCCGCCCTTGTTCTCTCTTCAGAACTACCTTACCTTCTCCTCATGTCTTATTGAAGCCAGTTTTTTTTCCCCTTTTGCATTTCATCCTCTTTCTATTCCTTTGCTGTTGCAGTTTCCTAGTGACATTGACAGCTGCGGTTTATCAAATACACGGTTGCGGATGGCGGCGCACAGAGGAGTGATCGGAATGCCGGCGTTGTCCTCATGATATGATTTTCTCTTATTGGCTTCTCCATCAAAACCGATTTCTGTTAGTAGAGTCGAGAGTTGGAAAAAACCAAAAATGTTTTCTCTTTTATTTCATGCATAGGCATTTTTCTCTGATATCACAATGTTTCCATATTCACACTATCATCACCCTCTCCCTACCTATCACAATCTTACCTTCCAATGTGTTTTCCTCCTCTTTGCCTCATGTTCATGCTCATGCAGTAGGTGGCTTTCTCATCTCTTTTGGATAAATTCCTCCCTTCTCGAGAGGCTGTTTTTCTCTTGCATCATCATCGGGTTGGCGATAACGTTTCCAGATTTTTTTTTCATGCAGTAAATTAGTTTAGTTAGAAAATGCACTCACAGAGAGACTGAATTTGATTCACTTTCATAACTTCATTCCATTCCCCTTCACTCTCTACTCCGTAGACGTAAAACCAAGAGATTGAACATTATGGAAGTCATTGTAGAGTAAGGCTTGGCGCTTTCTTATCGATAAGCAGATCACGAGTTTCGCGTCGTGACCTTTGACTGTTTTTGCTCTCTCCAACTCGACATCTTCAACTCTCGATCGTTTGGAGTTTGGTCGATTACAGATGATATATACTGGCTCTTAAGATCTTTACGGTTGCTAGAGCGGCGCCTGCAGTGATGAGCTCGTAGCTAGAGTTGTATTTTGGCCGGTTGAATCTTCCCCGCCAAATCATTTTTAACCCACTATCGCATCGAAGATGTATGGCGATTTGGGAACCAAGCTGGTATGATGACTTCTTCTTATATACGGAGTAAAACATCCAGTTGTTATCAGTTATATATCCACAGTTCTAATTCGTCCAGGTCCAACATGCCAAACGCACGCAATCCCTCGCGTATCTCCCTCCCTACCAGAGGGAAATCGTTCAAGCAATGACACGTGAAGTCCGCGACCTGGACAGAGATGTGGCTCGTATCCTTGAACAGCTCGAACAAGCTCGCGTAACGGCTGAAGGAGGAGAAGGAGGTGTCCCTCAGTCATCGTTCAATCCCGCAGACGACCCAGCAACGGCATGTGCCCTCTTAGTCGACCATCTATCGATGCGACGCAACAAACGCTGCCTTCTCGCATATCACCGAATCCGGGCAGAGAAGATTGAGGAAATGTGCTGGAATGGGATTGACCCCCTAGAGCACCAACTACGACAGCGAGAAATCGAGAGCGAGAACAAGAACGATGAAGATAGCGGCGTGCCAAAGGGAGACAGGACCGCTCTCTCAAGTGGCTATTACAATAGCTCACTGACGCCGGTGGAAGAAGAGTATTTTCGACAGTACAATGATATGCTAATGGCGTATAAAGGCCATTGGACAGATATTGATTTGACGGGCAGCCTGGAGCCACCCAAGGAATTATACATTGATGTTCGAGTGCTAAAGGATGCTGGCGAGATCCAGACTGAATACGGGTAAGCATTCTTCACACCTGGCCTATGCGTTGCCATGTGGTTCTATCTTTTGATACACGGATTCAAAAGGCTAATGTTTTATTCACTTATTCTTTCTGGGGGGGGCAGGTCGATCAATTTGACAAAGAACAGCCAGTTCTTCGTAAGGCTAGGGGATGTAGAGCAGCTAATTACTCAGGGTTACCTTCAACGATTAAGTTAGAAATTGACCTTCGTCTCGAAAGATTTTCCATGTCTCGTGCAGCCATGTGGAAGAAACCATGTGGAAACAGAGTTAAAATGGCCTAGATGGCCACAGGACTTTGAAGATGTACCAAATACAAACCCAATGTCAAAAGGACATCGGCAACCTTACACTCGTTCCAGAACTGGACAGTCGAATTGTTCATAGTCCCCTTTCTTTCCCCCTTTGAATCCCCTTTTTAATTCCCTCTCTTGGTGTCTGATCCCCTTTCCCAGTCCCCTTTCAACCCTTCAGCATATCCAACCAGCTGCCCGCGCGAAAAGACAATCATAGCCATGGCTCCCGCGAAGTCAGGCCGCATCATCCTGTTCGCCTTCGCCACGTTATCCGAACCTTCCGTTAGCCTCGCGTTTGCCTTTGCGTTTGCCTTTACTAGAGATTAGTCCTCTTACGGCTGCACACCCACCTTCGCTCACCCTGCAGGTGGTTATTTCTATTTGCGCACTCAGGCCAATTATACGCCTTCAATCTGTCACCGCATAATTATCGCAATCGAGCTCGCTGGCTAACACCCCCGAGGAGTCACCCTCCGATCGCATCCGATGCAGAATTCACCACCCAGCGCGGATCATCAAAGAAACTACCTTTGGTGGGTGATACAAATTTCGATTTGCACTACAACCCAGAATAAGTACTCTATTGAATAAGCATTTCACGACCACTAGCAAGGCCATTTCTCTGCAGCATCCACGAGAGACTAAACAGGAAGTTGTACTAGACGGATATAGCGGCCTTTGTCTAATCCATGGGGCCAGTCACTCAATCAATCTCGATGCAAGGGAAGCCGATAATGCAAAATTTATGAGCCCCCAGAATCTCAAGAGACCGCCAGCCTATTACGTACCGGAGGCCGACCAGTTATTCACTATGGGGTCGGTTTTATATCAAGGCCATACTAACATCGTGCAACTCCTGCACGGATATAGGCGTGCCTAGATAGGGGCAACACCAGTCGAGTTATATCATTGAGTGGTTGCTTGCCCTGTCCACCTACAATATGGGGTGATCCAGATTAGAGAGCGCACGCAGCTGTTTCTCCTTGAAGAAACTGGAGTTGGGGAAAATCTTCATCGGGTTGGAGATAGAGAGGCGATCGAACCCGATATCTAGTTTCAGCATGTCCGTGGCCGACATTGCATGAAGTAGAAAGTTTCGGAGGAAACTCCCGACCGCATTTAGGAACCGGTCTTATACATATTTTTCTGGTTTGCTCTAGAACCGGGCAGTGTGGCATTTCTTGCAGTTTGAAGAATGCCTCAGGAACAACTATTACTTGTTTTGAAATTTATGTAAGATCTCTAGATTCTTAATAGATGCACCTAATAACTGTGACCAAGGTAAACTTCCGGTGGAGAATCTCTCTACACGCTGAGTTTCCACCCTTTCCTATATTATAATCTCCCCGTAAATAAAAACTACTGTACATTTCCGCATTCCCATAATTGCTCGCCTACCCCCAAGGGCCTCTGAATCGTTTAGAGGTATCAGCTCTAAAGTGGGCTGTCAACGTGGTATTCCCAGCCTTCTCAAGCTTGAGTTTAGCATGCGTCTCCTCTCGTCTTGACTGATCGATATGTTTGGCCCTGATGGCAAGCAACGATCGAACTTCAGGGTTTGAAAGATGAGCTAGAGCTCGCTGGTCTCCTCGGCTAAGTCGTGACAACTGGGTACATGATGTCGGTGAAGTATCATTATTTCGAGTTGTGCCAAATTCCGGCCTAGTTGTTGGTGCTGCCGATGGCAAGGTCGTAAATTCTACGCCTCGCTCCACTGGTTGGTGAGATTTTCTCGACACGGCTAGTTCGCTTGGACGAGCACGATGATTTAGAAGTTTGCCTGATGCTAATCGCAGCGATGTGTTAACTGCAGGCGCAGTTTTGTTTAACACTCGAGCGTTAGGCTCAAGAGACTTATAAAACTCGGTGATGTCTGAGGAGAGGTTGAATCGGCAGTGACCCTTGGCCGTCATATGGTGAAGAACGCCTTTGATAGTTCTCCGGCGCGTGGCACATAGGATACATTCGCGATATTCGTAAATGACCAGGTGCAGGTACCTGAGAAGCGTCTCAATATCAACGATCAAGTCGTCTTGATATGGTATCACGAAACTGTGCATTTTGGACATGTGCATAAGGTTGTCACCGAAAGTGGTATTTGTCTCGCAGCAAAATAAACATTGCTCGGGATTAAATTCCGGCGCTGCAGAACTGTCTATATCGCTTTCATCTGATTCATCTGATTCATTTGATGCAGCTTCGAAACTGGGACCTCTGCTCACATCCACCGCCCGTTTTGTGCTTGATGGCGGAGGTAATACAACGCTCCCGGGCTCTGCTATTCGCAGACGAAGATTGTATACACTTCAATATAAATATCAGCTCTCTTCCTTTCTGATGAAAGATTGACACTCACTGCCATTCACTCTTTGCGTGCTGTCGCCACGCATTCGAGCTGGTTAGCGGTAGATTGCATAACCTGCAAAAAGAAGGAAATTTATCATCCATTGCTAGTAGATGTTCGGCACAGGCTGCTCCGGTGTCGTGAATTTCGGCGGTATACGGGTACTTGGTCGTGTAGTAACTGGGTATATAAGCTTGAAAGCCTTTTGCTAGATGCTGGTAATCAACTTGAACCAAATGGATGTTAGTCAACTACTCAATAAACGTAAGGATGGGCTCGTGGTATATATATCTTCGTCTTGAAGCTCTACCGCGGCTTCTCGCCCTATCCACCCGCAATTATCTATTCTCATTGGCTTCGATGGATGAGCCGCTATGAATCATAATGAATCACTGAGCGTGGCCAAACACTAAATATGTTTAACTATAAATAACACCGGGGCGGCCCGAGAACTAGCGCTTATTTGACCAACGCCCGATCCACCAAGCTTTACAAAGATGTCTGCAGAAGTCTTCCCTAAATATATATTTGCATTCTCTACGGAGTATATAAGGTCTGTATAGAATCAAGAAAAGGCTATAGCTAAAGATTTACTATAAAAATATCTAAATATTGCGTGGGAATGGAGAGTTACCTTATAGATCTAATAAGTCCAGGGAAATACCAGACTGTACAAGGTAGACGATAGACGAAATACTACCTAGTTCCGATACAGATAGGCTTGTACTATGTGGCTTATTTAGCCAATCACTGTTTCTTTTTTTAGCCTAGGTCACTTCACGATTCATGAAGTAAAGGTTGGGTGACTCACGCCCTCTCAGTGCTCGGGAACTCTGAAGCCGCCCCCAAGACAAAAGTTCTTCGTCTCCTCATTGCCCAATTCAGGTATTAGGAAGTTTGCGATGATGGGGTCTGTTAAGCCGAGCTCACTGGAGATTCCAGACCAACCACACTCGAATCCAGCTCGTATTCGAATTATCCATATTGGAGCTGGAGCAAGCGGGATTTTAACAGCATACAAGGCCAAGAAGCTGCTGAGGAACTATGACCTGACTTGCTATGAGAAGTATGAGCATTCATAATATCTCGCTTTAAAGTCAAGATTGTGGGATCAAAAATTAAGTCAGAAGTTAGGAACGAGACCATCGGTGGAACCTGGCTGGAGAACAAATATCCCGGTATACAGCCGAACCTTTAATTCTTGATCCAAGAAGTCATTCTGTCACAGTTTTCTGACGGCAGTTTTCTCTTCTTCAGGATGTGCGTGCGACATACCTGCCCATGTCTATACATATCCGTTTGAAGGGAACCCCGATTGGGGTAGCTTTTACGCGCCATCAGATGAGATCGAAGGGTACCTCCGTCGGTTTTATGAAAAACACGAGCTCCAAGGCTTCTTCCGGTTCAATACCGAAGTCATCTCAGCAACCTGGGATGGAAATTTGGGACAGTGTGAGTGAAGAGTTCCAGTCATCACCCTATTCAGAGATTGACATGAAGTAGATATTGTGCAGCTGAGAGGTGAGGATGGCAAAACGACGGAAGATTGGTGCCATGCGTTGATTAATGGAAGTGGGGTTTCAAATAAGTGGAAGTGTAAGTAGATAACGTCGAAGAATAAAGTGGACGGGCTAGAAACTGAAGCGAGCGAACAGGGCCGGACATTCCAGGTCTCGATTCATTCAAGGGCCCCTTGATGCATACTGCGGCCTGGAAAAAGGACGTGGAGGTACAAGGGAAGCGCATTGCAGTTATTGGGGGCGGTTCAAGTTCAGTGCAAGTTGTACCTGAGATGCAAAAGGGTAAGCCAATATGCATCATACTTGCTGAGAACTTAGCACCGCTAATCCGCTCATAAGTGGCGTCCCAGCTTTACGTTTGCATGAGAAGTCCCCTTTGGGTTTGCCCACCGTCCGCAAGTGATATTCTAGAACGCTCAAAGGTTGAACAAGCGACTAGCAGTCAAGAGCAGAGCGATGTCCAGGGTACTGCCGAAAATCCACACCGAAAGAATGCAGCCAACCAATATATTTATTCTCCTAAAGAAAAGGAGACGTTTGCAAAAGACAATCAGGCGGAGCTACTCAAATACAGACGCGCTCTTGAAAAGGCAGAAGTATCCGAGTTTGCCTTCTTTCTCAGTGGCTCAGAGATAAACAAGGAGGCGAAGAAGGAGTGGGCTGAGAGAATGGACTCTCGAATGGGTCCTGGACACGAGGAGCTGAAGAAGATGATTATCCCAACCAGCTCTCTATACGGGGTGAATGGACTGTCAATCCGCGACTGGTGGAATCCGGTAATATGAATACCCAGGTGCCTTGATAATTTTGCATGCAGGCATGACTGATACCTAATGTCTTACCAGTTACCAAAGCCATACCTTGCAACAACAACTCCACATTTCCCCAACTACTTCCATATTAACGGTCCACGAGGAAACTGGGCTCTGGGCTGTGCGATGCCATCCATCGGGGCACAAATAGAGTATGCAATGAAATGCATTGCCAAGATGTCCGATGACCAGGTCAAAGCGATGGAGGTTCGCGAGGATGTAACGCAGCAGCTCAACGATTATTTCGATGCCTGGCACAGCGGATCGGTGTGGGGAGAAAAATGTAAGAGTTGGTATAAAAACAACACTACCGATGGCCCGGTAATGCTCTGGGCAGGATCATTGGTCCATATGCTCAAGACACTGCAGACGCCACGCTTTGAACACTACAGGTTTGAGTATCGAAATAGTAACATGTGGACGTTCCTCAAGAACGGGCGTACGGCAGCCGAAGTAGAAGGACGGTGGGACGATGCGGTGGCATACTTGCGTAACGAGGACGTCCCATATCATATTGACTAGAATTCCACGTTGAACAGTCGTTGATGGCGTCATTGGTTTGCTGTCAGTTCAGTCTCAAATAAATACGAAGAGGCTCTAAAAGCTTACTTAGTCAGCTCTCTATCAACGTCGTACCATGTTTGTTTTGAGAATTGACAATTAGTTTATTATCAATATAATCAGATATTGGGAGTCTTGGTCTTGTAGCCAGTGAAAGGCCGTCTCGGGATATCAAAGACCGAACTAGATCTTTGCACCACCATATCTTAGATACGGACGCATGGTGTTCCTGCATCCGCATATTCTACCCCATTGACGTCCACAGTCTTCCCTCACTAAAGATATCACTAATATCGTCGCTATACCAGCCTTGAAACGGAGTCGTTTTCATATCTCGAAGGTCTGGCGTCCATGGTTGGACCTAAAGGTAATATCAGTGGCATCGACGACTCATCTCAGCTGGATACATACAACAGTACCTCGAACCTGCGTTCCTAAGCCATCGAACTCCTGCCACGACTTCAATCAAGCTGATACAGCTATGACTTCTCATCTTTGCATATCAAGATGGCCATGTCAAAATGTTCAAGTTGTTCAAGTTGAAGGACGTCAGATAAACACGTGACTAAATGAGGCTCGTGTAGCTTAGTCATCCCCCAAACAATGCCAAGAAACCTAGATAAGGAAAGTCTTGGCGTATCAACTTCAACTTCAACTTCAACTTCGCGTTTTAACGGAGAAAGGGTTGGATATTGACAGTTCCAAAGCTGTAGACGCCCGTTCGACTTTAGAGGACATGGTCAGATATCGTTATCACCTCCCACGACCGAAGGCGACCCTTTGAGAAGGTCGAAGATCGTATCGCCAGCGCCTAGCTAGAGTTCTCGACTAGCGCAGTGTCAAAGCCCATGCATCTGCCGTGTGGTCGCCACAATCCAGGATTATCCGAGCTATCTTATCGCCAGGGACAGGTTGATATTGACAAGTATGTGAGACAGGACAGGCCTCAAGGGATGGTCGATGAGGTTCCCCTTCCTCGCATCGCATCAGATCTGCCTTACTCAAGAGTTGACGTGCCCTTAAGTTGTTTGCCTACTGAGCGCTCCAAGCGGCGGGTCAAAAAAGATACTTCGATTTTCGCCCAGAAGTTGGCGGCAACCCCGGTACCTCCCTTAGCCCCGTTGCGTCATTCCTTGCTCGGCCTGCCTAGGTCCTGGAGCTATCACAAGACCACCAAGAGAGGGGGGCATTCGAGATCACGGCCGCCATCGTTGGATTGTACATCTTTTCCCCTCAATGACTTTCACTAGAATGAATCTACCACAGATTTTGGTATAGGGCCTAAGATTCGGCCCTTAGATCCCCCATTATCGAGTGCCCATTCGCTTTGTTGGGTCGCGGGAAGCGTGTGGATGCCCCGTGTTTACATCAACAGAACGACATAATGGATGGAGGGAAGGGGAAAGATAGTCCGATCACTGGCAGGCGTCGGTCTTCGACCTTGTCTAACCTGAGCTTCTTGAGGGATTCTTTTGACCGGAGACAGAGTGCCACGGCCACGGCCACGGGCAACAACCCAGACCTCTTACAAGCTCCAGACGCTTCAAATGGAGGGTCGATACGCCGTCGTATCTCTGTTAGCGAGAAAACACCTACACGATCATTCTACCATCGAACATTCCATGGACCATTAGGTGAGAACTAGCATTTAACAGTGAATAGGCTTACGCTGCCAACAAAAAAAAAAAAAAAAAACGAAGCTGACCCGTCATCCTTTTATTTAGACAATGCACAGTACTCCTCCCAGGGAGTCCGAGAACGAACCGCGGAACTAGAATCTTTGGCCCTATCCGATGCAGAGTCAATTAGCCACAAGTCGCTTTCTGGCTATGCCAGCGATCTATCTACGTCGACGGGGGCGCCGTACGCGAGGGACAATTGGCTTGCAGATGGGGTGTCAGATCGCCTTACCCGCTCTCGGTCTCGACCAGAGGCAATTGAAGAGAGATCCGAGCCTACTACCCCTCGAGGATCAGCATTGCCCTCTTACGTTGGCGAGTCTGCCCTGACTGCAATGCTACGATCGTCTCCTACAAATCCCTTGACCAAGTCAACCAGTGCCCCCGTACAGTCGGGGCGGAGACGAGCAATGTCCGACGATGACGACGACGACGATGACGAGGAGGGACCATTTGGTCGTCGCCCAGTTACATCTATACCCGCAAATCTAGATCCAGAGCAGGCACCCTTGATTCGGATTCAGAGTGGCTCAAAATATGGCACCACGTCCGACGAGCTCGAGGAAATTGGACCTCACAGGCCAGATATAGCAGGCTTTGGTAGATGGGTTATTTCGAATCCTCCCAAATGGGCCAAGAATATATGCCGCCCACGGACGTGGAGCAAGAAAGCCATCTACGAAAATGGCGTAGAGCTCCCAATGAGCCTCCTACCAGCTGTTTTCCTAGGCCTACTGCTCAACGTCTTAGATGCCCTCTCCTACGGCATGATCCTTTTCCCACTGGGTGAGCCGATTTTCTCCTCTATGGGCGCGGATGGAATCTCTATGTTCTACGTCAGCACCATAATCTCACAAATAGTCTATTCCTGTGGTGGCTCAGCATTCAAAGGTGGTGTTGGCGCAGAAATGATCGAGGTCGTCCCTTTTTTCCATAAAATGGCAATGCAAATCCTCGCGCGCGTGGGTGAAGATGACCCGCGAGCCGTCTATGCAACCACGATCCTCGCGTTTTCTCTAAGCGCTGTTCTCACCGGGGCCGTATTCTTTGCGATGGGAGCATGCCGACTCGGTGCCCTGATCGGGTTTTTCCCCCGCCATATCCTGATCGGCTGCATCGGTGGCGTGGGCTGGTTTCTCGTCGTTACAGGCATTGAAGTCTCCGCACGTCTATCAGGGAATCTAGAGTACAATCTTGAAACGTTACAGAAACTTTTCCAACTTGACACTATTTCCCTTTGGACGGTTCCATTACTTTTAGCCATTGGTCTCCTTGTTTTGAAGCGATACGTGCAGTCTAACTTTTTGCTCTGCGGTTATTTTTTGGCTATTGCAGCCGGTTTTTACATTGTCAAGTTTATATCTGATATATCTATGGATGCGTTGAGGGAGGGTGGATGGGTTTTTTATGCGCCTGCATCGTCACAGCCATGGTACCATTTTTATACGTTATACGGTAAGTCCCACCCAGCTACACAGTTCATTTTAACCCACAGGCGATGCTAATAGTGGTATAGATTTTTCTGCTGTTAACTGGTCCGCACTCGCGGAAACTGTCCCTGCAATGTTTGCCCTGACCTTCTTTGGGATTCTTCACGTCCCTATTAACGTTCCCGCGCTGGGGATCTCGACTGGCGAGGACCATCTCAATGTAGATCGAGAGCTAGTCTCACATGGGATATCCAATGTCTTTTCCGGGTTTGCAGGTAGTGTGCAGGTATGGTTCCATTTCCGCCTACCTACTTGGCCATGGCTAACGAACAGCATAGAACTACCTGGTGTACACAAACAGTCTCCTTTTCATAGCCAGTGGAGGCAATCACCGGCTGGCCGGAATTATGCTAGCAATTGGCACGTTTGGCATTTTGATTATCGGGCCTGGGGTTGTGGGATACATTCCGATTATGGTTGTAGGCGCTCTGATTTATATGCTTGGAATTGAGCTTATGGAGGAAGCTCTGGTTGATACGTGGGGGAAGCTGCATAGACTTGAATACTTGACGGTAAGTGCTCACCTGTTTACTTACTATAGTTCACTGGTTGGTTAACAGGATAACGTGAACCAGGTGGTAGCCATCGTCGTCACTATGGGAGCATGGGACTTTGTGACTGGCATCCTTGTGGGAATCATCCTCGCATGTGTCAACTTCGTTGCGCAAACATCTCAAAAGTCTGCCATAACCGCAACATACACTGGCCAGGTTGCACTCTCCACCGTCCGGCGGCACCCTCTGCACGCCCGTTTCCTCCGGGAAGCGGGAAAACAGACATTCGTCATCAAGCTCGCCGGCTTTCTCTTTTTCGGCACCATCGTCAGCGTCGAGAAACGGATACGCGGGCTGGTGGATGCAGAAGCATTCAGTGAACGACCCATCCGATTCTTGATACTGGACTTCTCGTATGTCAACGGATTGGACTTCTCAGCCGCCGAGGCATTTACGAGGCTGAACAGGATATTGAAGAAGAAAGGGGTGCACATGATTGTGTGTGGGCTGGATATCACAGGCGAAGTAGCCACGAGTCTGCAGAACGTCGGGCTGTTCGGGCTGGATGACAAGGTAGAGATATTCCAGGACCTGAATTCCGCGCTGGAGTACTGCGAGAACGAGTCGTTGAAGGCTATCCACGATCACAAAGAGTCACCTTCTCCATCCCCGGGTGAAGGAAACTTGCGTAAGTCGTCCCCTTTGCTAATGTATAAACTAAGGGGGTATGCTAACGAATGTTGAAGGACCGTACAACAAGGCCCACGGCCAAACCCTCGCAGCTGACGCTACAGCCATCAACTCCCCGCGCGGCTACTACCTGCACCAGCTGGCCTCCAACTTCCTCCGCGAAGAGGCAGAAGACTCCCGCTCGGGCAAGATCCTACACAAACGCCTATCCCCAGCGCAACAGCAGCAACAGCCCCTCCACCTGATGCTGCAAACGTTCCAGGGCCTAAGCACCAAACCCGCCGAGTTCTGGCTCCCCGCGTGCCCGTACTTCACCCGCGCCGAGTTCCCAGCCTCTTCCGTCCTGTACCGCGACAACGACTACCCCAGCCACTTCTACCTGCTGGAATCAGGCATGCTACGCGCGGAGTACGCCACGCAGCAGGGCAGGAGCTACTTTGAGCTCATGGTCGCAGGCCGGCCGTGTGGCGAGTTACCATTTTTCGGCGAAACAAGCCGGACTGCAACCGTCCGGGCAGAGCGGGACTGCGTGGTCTGGATGATTGGGACGAAGGAGTGGGAGGCACTACAGGTCAAGGAGCCAACGGTTGCGCTGGAGATGATGAAGGTGTGTCTGAAGCTGACGGCGGAGCGGACAGAGAGCATCACCTCGTAAGTTATTCCATACTGTAAGGCCTTATCTCGTTGCACGGGAAACGGTCTTTATTCTCCTCCTGCACGCACCATTGGACGACGGGGCAGCTCCACCCCTGTACGATCGCCGGGTTCTAACAGCTCATTTTAGATACGTATTGACAGCCACACGCTGATTGCAGCTCTCCGGAGTGGACTGCCGGCCCTCAATTGAGTTTGCACTCTCCCCATCAGTTCACTGCTATCGGCGATAGGGCAGCCAGGGGTGCTCATTTCCTCGATCCCTACCATGCTGTACATACTGTACATACACAATACATCAATATTCCGCACTCATGACTGCTCTCCCAAGCGAAGTATCAGGACTAGCGAGGAGTGACTGGCGCAGGGGCCTATCTGCGCAGGCCTATTGGAGCAGGCCTGCCAGTGACAAGGCCACAGCTACCCATGCCTAGCGCGCTGCGTGGAGAGAAAAGGGGCAGCTAACGAACTGGCGAACGACGGCTGTTTCCACTATTACGCGATAGCAGTATTTAATATGACAGCAAACGAGACTCTCCCGTGCGTCTCCACTGTCAATACGTTACATCTTACACTTGCCACTGCCTCGGCCTGTCCGTCAGTAGAGTAGAAGCAGAAGCAGGAGTAGCTATAGAAGCAGAGGTAATAAGCAGAAGATATAAGTATAGAAGTAACGAGGTATAAGTATAAGTAAGAGAAAGAGAAATAGAGACCATGTGACCTGATGCCAAGGCGGATCCACCGCAAGAGGAAAAGGAGGAGTCACGTGCTCAGGGGCTTGTCTCAATACACATACACACTATATACACTACATACACGCGGGCGATGTACCTGCGTCACTGATCTTCGATGGCGGCACTGCAGACTATGCGTGGCTGTATCTATGCCTCCGCCCTAAATATGAGTAAGATGTAAAGGGTAAAGTGTGTACGGAGTAAGATGTGTAATGATGAGGGTATCAGGTCGGTATGGCATGTATGTAACGTCACGTACATGTAACTTACATACGCTGATCATACCTATATACCGCCTACTTAACAGTGCTGTGCTAGCCCAAGTGTAGCTAGAGTGGGTAGTTTTTGTGGGTGGTGTAGTGGTGGTAATACCGTATTGTAATGACATGGAAAAGGGGGTTTAAAAGGGAGAGCGCATCACGAGATCTCGCAGCTTCTGCCCCTTATCCGGTCGCAAATATTAATCAGACCTCGCCCTTTCTCTTCCTCCTCCTCTTTTTCTTCCTCTTCTCTCTCTCTCACTTTTCTATCTTGAACTTCACTTCTCTTCTTGCGTGATACCCAGTGATACCATTTTGCTTGCTTACTTCCCCCTAATAATAACCAGCCCTCCTCCTTAACTATCTTCCCGCCGCCCGCCCTTATTTTAATTTCCTCTGCCGCCTTTTCGCTTCTTCGTGATACCCGAGATACCCCGTTTTCGAGACCTCTAGCTACTTTAATACTCCTCCCTCTCTCACACACACGCACATTTCTCACGACACGACACGATCACCATGTCTGAAGTCCAAAAACAAACCGAGGAGACGCCCGCCGTCGTCCCAGCCGCCGTCGTCCCAGAGACCACCGAGGCCCCAGCTGTCGAGGCGCCAGCCACCGAGACACCCGCCGTCGAGGAGCCCGTCAAGGCTGAGGAGACTGCCGAAGAGCCAGCCAAGGAGGAGACCAAGGAGGTCGTCCCAGCCACCGATGGCCAGCTCGGCTACAAGGCCCCTGGACTCGTCAAGTAAGTGTCTTCTATATACGATGATACAAGATGAAAGCTAATAGGAATAGGAGCTTCCGATTCGTAAAGCGATACTTCTGGTTCAGCGAAGAGGCCGTCGAGAGCAAGTCTCTCAGCTCCTACTTCCAGAACGAAAAGCTCAGCGTCGCCCACCCCAACGCCGCCTGGGCCAGCCAGACCGGCAAGGGTCTCCTCTTCTTCGCCAAGCGCGCCGAGGACAAGGCCAGCCCTGCTGGTATCATCAACCTGGTAGGTCTCCTGTTGCTCAAACGACAGGCATAGCTGAAACTGACATGGACAGAGCGACATCTCCGACGTCACCAAGGACGGCCACAACGAGTTCATCTTCAAGCTCCACGGCCAAAAGCACACCTTCCAGGCCGCCACTGCCGACGAGCGCGACAGCTGGATCGCTGCCATCGAGGCCAAGGCCGCTGAAGGAAAGGCCGCCAAGGAAGAGATCGTCGCCAGTGAAGGTTACAAGGGCGAGCTCGAGAAGTTCAGTACGTAAACACCACCGCCGTTGTGAAGTTTATTTTTTTTAGATGGGGTACTAACTTTCACACAGCCAAGGTCCCAGTCGTCGCCGCTGTTGCTGGCGCCACCAAGAAGGTGACTGACGAGACCAAGAAGGCCACCGACGACGCTACCAAGGCTGTCGAGTCCGCTGTCGAGCCAAAGGAGGAGAAGAAGGAGGACAAGAAGAGCCGCTCTCAATCCCGCAAGCGTGCCAGCATCTTCGGAAACTTCCTCGGAAAGAAGGAAGAGCAAGAGGAGAAGAAGGAAGAGCAGAAGGAAGAAGACAAGACTGAAGACAAGGAGGTCAAGAAGGACGATGCTGAGGCCGTCGCTGCTCCTATTGTTGCTACTGAGACCACTGCCGAGCCTGAGGCTACCGAGACTCCCGCTGCCGTCGAGCCAGTCACTGATGGTAAGCAAATCAATCATAATTTCTGAGTTCGTCTGACCATTGCTAACCATGGTTTCACTCTTTTAGCTCCCGCTGAAGAGCCAAAGACTGAAGAGAAGAAGGTCGAGGAGAAGAAGACCGAGACTCCCATGAAGTCCAAGCGTGCTTCTCTCTTCGGCAACTTCTTCCAGAAGTTCCCCAAGGAGGACCATGAGAAGGCCAAGAAGGAGGTCGCTGCTGAGACCCCAGCTGTCTCCAGCACTGCTCCTCAGCTCGGAGACCCAGTTGACGCCTCCACCTCTGAGCCCATCAAGCCAGAGACCGTCACCGCCCCTGCCGATGAGGCCGCCGAGAAGCCAAAGGAGGCCGAGGAGATCACCACTCCTACCTCTTCCTCCAACAAGTTCCTCTCTTTCATCAAGAAGGAGATGAAGACTGATGTACGTCTGGTCCTAATCTACTGATCCATCTGCCAATTGCTAATATACCTGCAGGACAAGAAGGCCGAGAAGTCTGAGAAGACCACCGTCCCAGAGACCGTTGAGAAGAAGGTCGATGAGGCCGTCACCAAGGCTGACGAGACCGTCACCGCTGCCGTTGACTCTGTCGCCCCTGGCCTCAAGGAGAAGCGCCGCACTTCCCTCTTCGGCACCCTAGGTGGCAAGAAGGAGAAGAAGGCCGAAGTCGAGGGTGAGACCTCTGAAGGCGAGACCAAGAAGTCCGGCAGCCTCGCTCAGCTCGGCGGTATCTTCCGCAAGCCCAGCAAGGCCGTCAAGAAGGAGAAGGAGCCCGCCGTCTCCCCAACCACCGAGACTGAGCCCATCGCTGAGGAGCCATCCACCACCGAAGCCCCCGTCACCACCACCGAGGAGGCCGTCAACGGTGAGGAGTCCAAGACCACCGAGGCCCCAGCTTCTTCCGAGCCTGCTCCTGTCGCTGCCACTCAACCCGTCCCCACCGCCGCATGAAGAGCAGACGCCAGGACGAGCTCCGTTGAGATCGAAAAATGGTGGGACCAGCGGTACATGCACTGTCCTGGTTTGTCTACAGCATAACGATATCAACCGAAAAAGAAAAAACATCGAATTGTCCCGCCATCAAACAATCCCAACCACAGCCCAGCCAATTTAACGAGCATGGCAACGATTTCCCAATCCCAAAAAATTAATCCAAACCCTCAAACCCCACTCTAATATCTGTCTCCGTTTCCTATCCTTTTTTGTTCCGTTTCCTATGTTTTGCTGTTCTTGTCTAATTAATTACTGGCTCGATCCATCCAATTCGAATTCCACCGCTACTAACTATCTCGTCACTCCTTCCGGAATTTCACTTCACGGTACAGTGATGCGTCGTTGTGTTTGTGGGAATTTTAATAAAAATAAAAAAAGACGAGGTGGACGTGAATGATACCCATACCCGATCCCGATACCCCGATACCCAAATCATACCGTTTTGTTTTTTTGTTTTGTTAATTAATTACTTTAGTTCCATTGCATAATTCTTCTTCTGTTCATCTTCTTTTCTCTTGATGTAAGTTGTGACTTTGATGCCTCTGATTCGTATTTCGTACTCAAGTTGTGATCGATATATGCGTTTGGAACGAACACAGTCGTTTACGCATCCCTCCATCCATCCCATTCTACCCCGTTCGTTCGCTAGCTGGGCTCCTTGGGCTTTGGAATGCATATATATTCTCTCTATTCAGTGTAATGTTTGTCAACGACTAGCTCAAATTGCATCCACATTCATGCATACTCATACCCCCTAAATTATCTAACCTCCCTCTAAATCCTACTAATTACTCGTCCCGTCATTAACTCGTAGAAATCCGGATATCTCGCTACAAGATTACACTCCGTATTATCCGTTTGGCCCCTGCTTATAGCCAGCCCGTTAAGAGAGGTACTTCATCTAAGTAGCCTTTCCGGAATTGCCTGTATAGATACGCCTGCAGAATGAATGACGCAAGCCCATGCCTAGAAAACGGCATCTAGGCTCTGGGTTCCCCGGACATCCTTGCCGCCGTATTTGCATCAGATCATGCCACAATTACCTGTCCGGCTGCCTGTCTATATTGTGGGCGTGCTGGATGCAGCTCATTCATTGGCAAATACAGTTACCTGTATCTGTTCATGCATACTTATCGTAAGAAAAACGGTTGTGAAACGAGCTGTATATACGGGTTGATTGAGACCAAGCATGTAGGCGGGAGAAGGAAACTGTATTGAGTAATAGCGTGTTTAAACCGGTTAATATGTTATTTATGGAAAAGTGACGACAAGAATATAGATCAAGTAGCTACTCCTTCGATAAATATCAACTAGGTCAGATCATGGGTATGAGAAATAAGAGAGAAAGGGAAACAAAAGCAAATCCGCGACAGAAATAGGAAATATAACTGTAATGCAACCGGGACAGTGGTTGGTTTAACGACAAGCAGGCCTCTTTAAAATCGTGCTTTAGTATGTCTGGGAAGGGTTCTACAACGACAATGAAAGAGATCTCTTGTCTGTATCGCGGTCTTTATACAAGTGATCTAGCTGATCTATTGGGTGGTTAAAAAACACGCGCGTCCGTTTATATCCCGGAAAGCAAGGTAAGGAAGTAAGTAGCGGGCGATTTCACTTATGTGCTTCGAGAGCATGTTGGATGGCTGTAATACGTCAGTATATGCTTTCGATCTAGCCATGGGATGAACGTATAACTCACCATCACAAGATGTCTTTGCATCTCCAAACAACATCTTGGTACCGGGCATGTAGAACATTGGGTTAGGCACGTCGGCTATAGGGAAGTCAGTAAACAGTAACTCTATCGATATCGTCAGATAGACAGCCACGTACCGTATCCGCTAGACATGCCACGCTTCATGACAATGACCTCCTTACTCTTCCAGGCATGAAGAACAGGCATTCCCGCAATAGACGAGTTAGGCTCGAGAGCAATGGGATTGACGGTATCGTTGGCTCCAATGACAAGCGTGACATCGGTGTCGCTGAAGTCGTCATTGATCTCGTCCATCTCGAGCACGACTAGAATCACGAATTAGCACAGACTCACCATCTACTTATGTAGAATCTGGAGAATATGGCGGTACTTACTATCATATGGAACGGAAGCCTCTGCAAGCAAGACGTTACATTGTCCCGGCATACGGCCTGCAACAGGATGAATGGCGAATCGCACCTTGACACCCTTAGCGCGCAGCATGCGTGTGATTTCTGAAATGGCATATTGAGCTTTCGCCACAGCCATACCATATCCAACGACCTATTAAAAGTTAACATTAGTTCGAGCTATTCTTTAACTTGGCTAACGATGCCATCGGTCAGGGTCAACATACGATAATGACGCTTTCTGCATTCGCGAGGGTGTCTGCCGTCTCTTCAATGGAGGTCTTCGTAATCTTTCCTTCAATCTGGTGGTCTGATTGGGCTTGGTTGGGGGATGATATCCCACCGAATAACACGTTGGTTAGGGATCGGTTCATCGCAACACACTAGATAAGTAAGTCAGATTATTATATAGCTTTGGAATACGTGAGCACAGCGGAACAAACCATGATATACGAAAGGATAGAACCGCTGATACCAATCAGTGATCCAACCGTGGTAAGGAGCGGGTTATTAAGCATGAATCCTTCCGCCACGAGAGCGAAGCCAGAATACGCGTTTAGAACCGTTATCACGACAGCTATATTATATGTTAGCGTGGTTTCCCCGGTAGAGACGAGGAAAGAAGGACATACGCATATCAGCACCTCCAATGGCGGCGGTGGTGGTAAACCCCTTGACGAAACTGAGAATGGTACTAGCCGATAAACAAACAGCAGCCACCAATGGAGCGCCGGGGGCCATCGTTATGAACCCTCCCATAAGCGCCATGTTGGTTCCCAGTAGGGAAGAGTTTAGAACATGTCGACCCCTGAAAGCTAGTGGTTTAGAGGACATTTTGCCTGATAGTTTCAGGAATGCTACAATGGAGCCAGTGAATGTGATGCCACCTATTCAATTGATCGGTTAGATATTCCTAGATCTGGTGACCAAGACAAGGTGAAGAAAGGATGCTTTACCTATGACCACGCCTGAATAAGCGGTGACGAGGTGTAGAGTTGTAACGGCGTCAATATCAGCGAGCACGCTTCCGATGCTAGTGAGGACTGCAGCTAAACCAACGACGGAATGCAGTGCTGCTACCATCTGCGGCAGCTCGGTTGGAGTAATGCGACGACCAATCATGGCACCTACATGGTGTCATCGTTAACAGGGCCCCTGAGACTCAGGGTTAAGTAGGGGATGAACTAACCTGCCAAACCTCCAATTCCAGCCAGTCCGACAAACTGGGCAAGTACTTCAGGGGGGAAGCCAACAGCAACCAGCGAGGCCAGTATACCTGTTGACACACCTAGTATACCAAGTGAATTGCCTGCGCGTGCAGTAGCTTGGGATGCAAGGCCGGAGAGAGAACCTATCTAGTTAGCGGAAGCCAGGTGCATCGTGATTAGGGAATATTGGACGTACTGATGCAAAGAATGCTGCTGACAAGATACCCGGCTTGGATGAGACCGGCCATTCCAGTGCTGACAGCCGCGATATATCCACCTCCAAACAGAAGACCAGGAACAGCGTATAGCCATGGATATTCTGGTGGATCGGTAGGGCCTGTACGCCATTAGTATGGGGTATATAAACTGATAAGGAAAGAATAGAATGGACATACGCTTGAACATGTCTAGCATGCGTTTGGTGATGACGAAGCCACCAGATACATTGACGAAAGCGAGTAGGACCGACAACGCTCCAAGGGCTTGGGGTATAGTTTCGGGGAAATATCCACCGCCCATAACGAATAGGCCACCAATTCCAACCATTCCTATACAACACTATGAGCCAACCATCTATATAAGAGTAGGAGAAGGAGTTGTACGTACCTGAAATGGCGTTGGTGACACTCATCAGCGGAGAGTGTAAGGCCGGAGTGACACCCCATACAACTCGATATCCAATCAACCCAGCCAACCCGGCAGTGAAGACGTTACTCATAAACAAGGGACCGGTGAATTTACCTAGGATGAGCGCTGTGCCCATCCCGCCGGTAACTGTAGCGACCTCTCTCGACACCTTCTGGAAGGGCGTGAGCTCTAGTTTTGCAGTTTCAGCAGAGACAGCAGCGTCGTCTGTCTTGGTCGTGGCCGGTTGTGGAGGCGGAGCAGGTCTTGGTGCAGGCGGTAAGATGACACCCGCATGGGTGACGATGGATCCACGAACTACTTCATCTTCTAGGTCGATACCATACTGTTTTTCCACCGGTGCCATGGAAAGCAGGAACTTGGTGATATTATTCGAGTACAATGTTGACGACTGCGTGGGTAGACGTGATGGCAGATCCGTATAGCCTATGATAGTAACGCCATTGGGGCTCACGACAAGTTCACCGGGTTTAGTCAAGGTGCAGTTGCCTCCTGCCTCTGCCGCTAGATCTACGACGACAGAACCGGGTCTCATGGCCATCACCATCTCTTCCGTAATCAGCTTTGGGGCAGGTTTTCCAGGAATCAGGGCGGTGGTGACTATGATGTCGACCTCGCGACTCTGCTGGAGAAACAGCTTCATCTCGGCTTCGATGAATTCCTTGGACATCTCCTTTGCGTAGCCACCTGCTCCAGAACCGTCTTCGTGGAAGTCGACCTCGACGAATTCAGCGCCGAGAGATTGGACTTGTTCGCGGACGGCGGGACGGGTGTCGAATCCGCGTACTATGGCGCCCATACGACGTGCCTATCTTGTGAGTATATACATACTTAGATCGACACTGGGTAGCTTACTGCTGAGATTGCGCTGAGACCAGCAACGCCAGCTCCGATAACGAGTACTTTGCCGGGTGGAATCTATTATGGTATTAACTAGGGTTGAGATGGGAGAATATACGAAGACAGACCTTGCTGTTCCATGTTAGCATTCATACAGTCTCTGTCACTCTCTGATATGAAGCGTACTCACCCAGCAGCCGTAACCTGACCAGGCAGAAACCTTCCAAAATGGTTTGATGCCTCCAGTATAGCCTTGTATCCAGCAATATTCGCCATTGAACTGCGATAGTTAGCGTATACATACAGCATCGAGTACAAGAGCCTACCTGAGAGCATCGAAGACCTGGGCCCTAGAGATGCGAGGCACCATATCCATGGCAAAGGAAGTAACCCCCTTCTTAGCCAGTGCATCGACCACCTCCTTATTCAAGGCCGGATAGAGGAAGGATATCGCCGTTGCTCCATCCTTCAGCAAGCCAACCTCACCGCCGTTGCCATTGACGCTGGGAGCCCTGACTTTGAGCACGATATCACTCGCCCACGCATCACGACGGTCAACCAGGCTCGCTCCGGCATCCGTATACGCCTTATCCGTGAACTGGGACTCCGCACCAGCTCCACGCTCAACTAGCACACGCCCGAACCCTTTCTTCAGCAGCAACGCGGCATTGGCGGGCGAGAGGGAGACCCGGCGTTCTGACGGGTATGACTCGAGCGGCACACCGACGGTGAGGGAGGAGTACGGGGTCGTCTTGATCTGGCTGCCCTGCTGCTGCTGCTGCTGCTGTTCATAGTACCTGGCTGAGCAGGAGAAGAGGCGGACATGGTGGTGCCCGTAGCTGACCAGGGCCCGCCGCAAGGGCGAGGGGACGTTCATGGTCGCGTGTCTACCTATCTAGTAGCTGGAGACGCACGACGGGTATCATGCCAGGCGCTGACAGTGTATGTTCAGAGATAGGCTTGATATAGCCTGAGGTAGAGGATATATGTAAAGAGCGTGAGGGGTTGCGGCCTCCATCCGAGACCTTTTCGATGCTTTCCCTTTGCTTTGTATCTCATCTTATCTCATCTTATCAGGGTTCCCCCCACGGAGCATCAGGTCCCGTTGATTAGGTAAGGGCTTATGTTATATATCTTATATAAGCGAACTATTTTAAGGGTGGAGCCTAGAATGGGCTTGGCATGGCTTGGCATAGGTTCCTGTCGGGAACGCGGCACATGACTTCATCCGACCTCGGAGTATATACATAGACAGACATATAGATATAGACATTGACATAGATATAGATATAGATGTAGATATAGACATAGTAGTAAAGGTATTGTAGATGGACTGGATTATAGACACGAGTCTGGTGTACTGTATGAGCGCTGCGGCGAGGGATGCTGCCTGGCTCGTGTTCCCAGGCTGAACCGACGCTGAGCCGCATCTCGTTCTCTGCGGGTTCCTCGCGCACGCCATAGGTCTCACCTTCTTCCTGCCTTTTTCTCGTCACCTCGCCCTTCTCTCTCGCTGATATCTGGTCATCCACGTCTCCCGCGTCCTCCCCTTCCTCTCCATCTTCTCTCGTGTCTCTCCGACTCTTCCTCGTCGCGCTGCTTTGACCTCTCTTGCTGACTAAAGATAAGCGGGTTTTCTGCCATTGACCAATCACGGGACCGGAAGGCGGTGACTCACACGTATAGACCCACGATATGCCGCTTTAGGACTAGCGAGGAGTCGGGTCGCTCGATAGGGAAGGCGGTGGCCTTTACTGCCGCGCCCGCCCGCCCTTTTCGTCTTTTTTTATATATCGCAACCTCGCTTCTTCTCTCTTCCTCCATCTTCACTTCCACACATCCCCATACACATACACACAAGAGACACAAAACACGCGATATCAAGTACAGATATCACTGAACAAGCCCCCAGACGTAACCATACGCGCCTACACTGAACTCGATCTTCTCTCAGACCTGCAAGATGGCCTTCTAGACGCTGGCTCAAGCTCGCCCGGTCTCTCTTCTCAAGAGACATCCAAGTTGGATTCCCACGCCTATACCCTTTTCGCTTCCTCAACCGCCCCTTCAGAGCCTCCTAACGGACCTCTGAACGCATCTCCCGATTTGTCTCGTGCAAACGCCGCGTTCTCAACAACCTTCACCATTCCCCAGTTCGACTCCACGTCGTTCACCACGGATAACCAACGCCCATCATGGCCTACCCAACCCCAGCCCTCTCAGCCTCCGGCTTCAAACAATCACCAGTCAAGCTACAACGACAGCGGCAATATCCTCTCGCCAGACTTCCTGCTCTTTCCGACAGATCCGCAGCCTCCCCAGACAGCACAGCCCAAGAGTTGGCCTGCGAGAGAAGCCTACTTGAACTCGACTTTGACTACCCATAGATCGCGCGCCGCGACTGCTGCCTTGCCTAGACGTCTTGTGAACAGCAACAATCAGGCAGCCACTTATTCGCCTATCGCACATTCTCGTGTTCGTTCTATTGCACATTCTCCTCGCCCACCAGTGCCGTTGTTCTCGAATCAGCAGTATCCGTCTCAGACTCGTCCGCAGCAGCGTCCTCGCGTTATGTCGACCCCAAATATGTCGGGGGGTATGTCTATCACTGCTGCTTCTCGTCGTATGAACACTGCTAACCGCCTTCCAGATGTTGGTGACCTCCTTGACTTCACCTCCTTTGATATGACCAACGAAGAAATCATCAACATGGAAATGCAATCCTACACTCCCAACCTCAGGGAGGCGCCAAAGACAGTTTCTCCCCAGGAACTGATGTTGGATGCCTCCTGCCCACCTTCCACCTCCTTCACCGACCTAAGCACGCCCTCCTTCGAGTCTCCTGGAACCTTCAGCCATGATACATCCCCTCTCTTCGAGAACTTGGACGATAACCTGCCAGGCCACGAGGGATGGACTTCACTCTTCCCTGGTGACGCAATGCATCTCCCGGAAGAAGTCGTCGAAACTCCAGCCTTTGTCGCAACTCAACCCACACCTCTGCCCAAACAACAAGTCTTTGCTTCGCCTGCCACCCGTGCCGAAAACTTTCCAAAAGAATCACCTCGTCTCAACGCTCGTCCGGTTTCGTCCCGTCACTCATCTGTGTCTGGAGTCTCCAAGCGAGTTCGCGAGAAAGCCGCCCTGCCACCAATCACTGTCGATCCAACTGATCCCGTTGCAGTCAAGAGGGCCAGAAATACTGAGGCAGCCAGAAAGTCCAGAGCACGAAAAGTAGAGATGCAAGAGTCGCTTGAACGCCGAATTGCAGAGTTGGAGAGCGAGTTGGAGCGAGCCAAGGCGGAAACCGAGCACTGGAAGGGTGTTGCTGGTGCTAGCTGATCGCTTGGGAAGCGTATTGTTTGCTTGATATTGCTATTTCCTCTTCACGGTTACCCTCGTGGGCCTCCGAACTGATGTCGAGGCTCATCGGGTAACCATACCTTGCACAGTTGGTGGTTTGTTATGTTATGATGATGTCCGGTTACCCGGCGAGTCCCAACGAGGTCTTACACGGAACCCGAGACTCGTCGGGTAGCCCACCCCCGTTTGCCTCGCCCAGCCGGCGTTGTAGAAAAGTTCCAGTCCATGTTTTATTACCTTTACCCCAGTGTCCCTTCTCGCTTTTCTGCACTGCGCCGCGCTGCGATAATCACTACTTACTGCTTTTGTGTTCTCTCTTTCTCAACTTACTCTTTTCCTTGCCGTCTGATGTCTCCTCTTTTTCTCTATTCACTCCTACCTTCACCTTGTTGGTATGTGTCGTGTTGGGATTGACTCGTGGCCTTTTCCATTACTCCCTTTTGCTTCTTTTTCTTTTCTTGATGGACACCAGCCCTAATACCCTGCTTCTTCTTGTTTCTTCTATATCTTTAACCTGTTGTCCATCTCCTGCCTCGATGTTTTCAGTTGTTGCGTTTGATGACCCTCGCCTGTCTTTTGAGATAAGGGCATGGCTTGAAGTGGTCTAGACTATACATACATGCACACTGATAGATACCTAGGATAGGATCCTAAATTCAAACTTCTGTCTCTCCTTATCTGACTACATTAAATAATTTACTTCCAAGTAGTGTACATGATAGGCCAAAAGCTATCTATAGACTATGTATATGTATGCAGCTCAGACTTGCCTTAATCTCCTCATCTCCCTCCCTTCGCCTTCCGCATAACCCAACGCAACCCTTCCCCCTGACCATCGGAAGCCTCCAAACACATCCAACCACCGAAGCCGCTGCACCCTCTCCCCCTCTCACCCACCACAACTACCACCACCGAGTCCACGCCCTCACGCTACCAAGATAGGGAGTGTCATGAACACCGTGGTGGACGGTAGATAGGCTTGGTTCGTGAAAGGGGGGCCTGACCTGAGAAGGGGAGAGTAGCTGTGCAGCTGCAGGGATGGATGGAGTGTTTTTTAAAGAAGGCCTTCATGGAGAAAAAGATGCGTGAATCATGACGGGATAATTAGATAGGGACGGGGGGGAGTCGGAAGTATCTGTTGTGTCATCATCGCTGCACATCAATTGGTGTAAGGTGATGTAGGTGATGGGCTGGTTATTCAAGGACATGCGTCCCTCTAACCCTCCCGCATTCCATCTTCGCCGTGCGGGACCCAAACTGTATAGCTCTCTTCTTCTCCCTAGCCACATCTCGCATACCCAGCTTCCACGCCATGAGACGCAGCGCTTTCTTTCCGTCCTCTACATCAACCTCAACCTCACCCTCTGCCTTCACACAACCAAACCCACACTTCTCCCACATAGGCCGACATAGCGTCCAGGTTAAAAATGCCTCATCTAAATACGGATATCGCGCTTCCTTGCCCCAGTGCGAGATAACACGGTCGTCACGGCCTAGGTTGCGTTTACCTAACCGGCCAACGTCAAGCTGTACCTCGTCGATTAGGCCACGGAATCCCTGTCGTGAGAATGCAATGGAGTGGCGGCTGTAGCCTGCGAAGACCTCATCAGCGCCTAGACCCGACAGTAGGGCGCGAGCGGGCGTGGTATATGGAGTCTCATTTCCATCGTTGTCTGCATCGGGATGGTAGGTTCCCTTGCCTCTCGCGGCGAAGTAGAGAGCACAGGCGATGGAAAGGTCCATCTCCGTGTTATGCGGGGACATCAAGTGTTTGACATGCGAGCGGTGCTCGATGGTCTCGGTATATGGAATGTTGATGCGGATGAACCGCCATTTCCGGCTCGGGCAGACACGTTTCAACTCGTGATATGAAGATATTCCAGTCTTCCGATCGGGACATTCGTCATAAACTGATATCGAAGCGCCGGCCGTCATATTCTTTGTGGCTGCCGCTACAACTCGGGGATTCTCAAAGGCTACGTTGAGAAGGTCTATAGGCGCAGCATCGGGTAGTATATCGTGCGCCAATCTTGCGAGTAGAGTACAGTCGAGCCCGCCGGAAAAGAGGACGGCGACCTTTGGGTCCGGAGAAGTGAGTATCCCCGGTATTGTCGTAAGCCGTAGTTCAAGCGACTCCCGCAGTTTCTCTTGTAGTGTACTGATACACGGTGACTCGATGGATAACTGGGGCGGTGAATCGCTCTCGGGAATAAAAGTGTTCATAGCAGGGACAGGCCGTTTCTAGTTGCGTTAGCTGTGAATTTGTACACTGCATCTGTATCAAAAAAGGGGGGTCGGTTGATTAGTATTCTCACAAGACTCGAAGACGACGGATCAGGGGACCATGGGATGATAGTGATCTTGACAGGACACTTAGGTGCTTCAGCTCTGGTTGCTGCATTCTGCTCAGCGAGATCCGCGAGATCAATGACATGTATCCCCGTAGTATCTACTTCTTCAAAGTAGTCTGACGCATGTTCATCTCGGACACTGGATAGTCTAAAGTGTCCATCACTATTCCATCCCTGAAGCAACGAGCGTCGACCCAAATAGTCTCTTCCGTAGAACAACCTGCACGCATAATTATCGTAAAAAACAAACGAAAACGGGCCTGAGATATTGTTAATTGCAACACAGAGCTTCTTCAGCGTATCTTCTGTGCTTTCGCCATTGCACGGCTTCACCGCGTCCAGAAACGACTGAAACACTGCGTACGTATCGTTTCCTTCCAGCGGCCGGTCTGCAAACTTCCACACCTCTCCGTTCCAGCACAAGACAGACTTGCTCTCTTCGTCTACCAGTGGCTGCGCCTGTGTAGAGTCTCCTCGCAGCGCTAGCACGGAGGACGTGAATGTCAGGTAGACGGTCTCATCATCTGCGACAGTGACACAGCGCGTCTGAACACTGTCTGAGCCTCTGTTTCGGATAAGCTGCTCGGTCAATTGGCCCGGGTAGCAGTGCTCCTCGGTGCTCAGCGAGAAGAAGATGCCACACATGCCTGTTTCTCATGGCCAGCGAGCGTTGTGTTCGATGTGTTCGATGTGTTCGTGATGAAGCTAGGTAAGCAGGCCAAAAAGTCCTATAAAAATGCCCCTCTATGGACTAGCCTGGCGAAACGATGATCCGGTGTCTTTTTTGGGCGGACACCCAAGGGTTCACTGTTAATTATACGGCGTTTGACACTCATATATAGGAGACCAAGGGCGTTTGCTGCTCTAGAGTACGCAGTGTTTGTGGTTTAACTGCTCCGCTGGCCTAAATCGACCCTCTGACACGCCTTTTGCCCGATCAATATGGTCTACAGCTGATTCTACCAGGCCCGATACATCGTCTCCGTCCTATATACTCAGAGTTTCACCACCAGCTAGCTCATGTTGAGCTTATGTCTCCTCCAGACATCCAGGTCTCCCCGTCAGGCGACGTTGGGGAGACGTCTACGAACCTTATCGAAACCAAGGAACCTCGAAATGACCCAGCTTCCGTGAAACCAAGCGGTGAAGCTACCTCTAAGGATGACCAGAGCACGCCGGATGCCACAGGGGACAATAGCATTGTAGACAACATGGACTCTTCCAAGGGCGAGGATGTTACGGCAGAAGCTTCTAATGGAGGTGAACCACCCTCGTCAATGGAGGAAAAGGACAAACCGACTTCATCAGAGCCACCGAAACAGCTCACCCTTCAATCCAAGCGTGGAAACCCTGGCCAATTGCTCCAAGTCGACACGCAAAGAGACCAGCCCCCTCTCCCTCCCAAGAAAGACGAGCCATACCTAGATCCTACTCCTAAGACACCGCAGGCTCCACGATCACCCACCGACAAAGACCTACCGGAAGTACCACAGGATGACCTTCTCAGCGGAAGCAGCAGTACCAAGGCGAAAGCCGAAAGCGAGGAGAGGAAAAGCGAAGACTCCCAGTCAGAGATACAAACAATCATGGGCCAATTTTCAGACGAAATCAGCAGTCTTCGCCAGGAAGAGATCATGTCTCCAAGGCTCGAACTAGCTGAACAATTTCGGACTGGCCAGGGACATTTCCCGCCTCGGAAGTCTAGCCTTGAACAGCCCGCCAAAGCAGAGGAGGAACCTGCTGATGTCCAAGCAGCTTCCGTCTTGCCCAGTACCAGCAGCAGCAACCGCCATTCCTTGTCTCCGCCCGCCGTACCGCCAAAATCACCCCCTAGTGCCAACCCAGGGAAGCCAGCTACCGTTGAGAAGACTGATAGCCATCACGCTCCTTCAACTCCAAACTCGGCCGTCCCACCACCCCCAGAACCGGAGGCAGAACAGCCATTTGACTTCCACCGCTTTCTAGAACAGCTACGACACCGAACTGCCGATCCGGTAGCCAAATTCCTACGCTCATTCTTAACAGAATTTGGCAAACGCCAGTGGATGGTCCATGAACAAGTAAAGATAATCAGCGACTTTTTGGCCTTTATAACTAATAAAATGGCCCAATGTGATGTATGGAAAGGTGTTTCTGACGTTGAGTTCGATAACGCCAAAGAGGGAATGGAGAAATTGGTTATGAACAGGCTCTATACCCAAACGTTCTCGCCAACTATTCCTCCCCCAACCCCTTCGCGAAGTAGAAGCCGAGGGAGGAGGAAGGAGATAGAGAGGATGCATAATCCTGGTAGACGTGGGCAGCATCAAGAAGACGTTGAGCGTGATGAGATTCTGGCCCAGAAAGTTCGGATTTACAGCTGGGTCCGAGAGGAGCATCTTGATATCCCTCCTGTTGGTCCTAACGGACGGCGTTTCCTGCTTTTGGCCCAACAAGGTATGGAACATCCCTTAATCGCTCCTGGAGGACACATTCTAATCTTCTCCAGAACTCTTAAAGATAAAAGGATACCGTGCGCCGCGAGATAAAGTTATTTGCATTCTGAATTGCTGCAAAGTGATATTTGGTATGACTATCTCTACATGCCTATTCATACACGTACACTAACAACAATAGGCTTATTGCGCAATGCCAAAAGTAGTGATACTTCGGCGGATTCGTTCATACCCCTATTAATTTATGTGGTCCTAAAAGCAAACCCAGAACACTTGGTTTCCAATGTGCAATATATTCTCCGATTCCGCAACCAAGACAAGCTAAGTGGGGAGGCAGGATACTACTTATCTTCTCTCGTATGTGTTCACCAGTGACTTAAGATCCTGGCTACCTTTCACTAACTAGTTGATAGTCTGGCGCTATCCAGTTCATAGAAACCCTGGATAGGACCTCATTAACTGTTAGCGATGAAGAATTCGAGCGAAACGTAGAGGCAGCCGTCTCCGCCATAGCTGAGCGGAACCCAGAACCCGAAGACCCGCCATCCGTACCGGAAAAGCCTTCTAATAGCAAATCGAGAGAACCAACACCGAGAGTCTCGGTTGAAACGGGCTCAAACTCTAGACATAAGGAATCTTCCCCGTCTCATTCGCCCGTGACTGATGATAATACTCCTGTTGCGGGATTACTTCGAACGATTCAAAAACCCTTAACCACCATTGGGCGAATATTCTCTGATGATACAGAGTACCAACGAGAACGATCGCCATTCAATTCGCAACACAATTCATCAGCATCAGAGAATGTAGCGTATCCAGCTCAACGCTCGGATAGTGACTCTTGGAGGGGCCAGGAGCGGTCGCGAGGACGTGATGGAACTTCGCCTCAGCCTGCTACCCGCTTTGATGCACAGGAGGCTGCCGCTCGTCAGGCAAGCGCCGAGTCGGCAGAGGCACGTCGGATTCAACGAGCCGAGCATAACGACGTGGTTGAGTAAGTCTATGCTAATCACTCGACCTGATACGATATGATCTAACATTCACCTTCAAGGACACTTTCAGGCATGTTTCCCAACTTGGATCGAGATATAATCGACGACGTCGTTAGCATGAAGGAAGGAAGGTTAGTTCTACCATCTACCCGTCTCGCTGTATCTGTAGGACAACGGCTAACCATTTTCCTGTTCTGCTTGTATAGGGTTGGCCTTGCAGTTGATGCTTGTCTTGCGCTGAGTGCCGAATAGACTGCTACTTGAAGATGAGAGGCTGGAGCAATTGTTTCGCAAACCTTTGAGAGCATAACTTGGGAGTTATGGTCGGTTCATAATATCATGGATACCCATTCAGCACATAGTAATAATTTAATCTCTTTCCTCGATACTAACCTAGACTGTGTTGCCATCAAAACACACGGAGTAAGGTAGTAGCTTAAAACGCTATGTCCAATAGTTCTCTTTAGCTATCATTTAAGCTTATTTAGAGTAGCTTTGGGCGTCACTTTGCATCTTTGCTCATCCTCACTTTTTCGCAGCTCTTTTCTTTGTTCCAGTCAAGGGGCCAGATATACGTCCAATGTAAATAATCTCACAGGCTGAAATAGCAGGTAAAAGCAGAGGAAGACCGCGAGATCTGCTCGCTGGTTTCCCCCTGGTACACAAGAACAGCAACCTTATTAATTATTAATATCTGAACCAGCCTTTGGATGAACATTTAACTTCTCTCGCTCTCTTCCTCCACCAGCCCTGTTGAACGTCGCAGGATCTAACCCCCCCAGAAACAGGAGCTGGGCCATCAAAGACGGACGGCCGCTCGCCTTTGTCCTGCACAGCGTCGTGATGACCAGAAGGAAGAAGACTGTAGAGAGCAAAGGCGAGAGTGCTGCCAATGTTCCCGCAACTTCGAGCCACCAGGAGCAAAAGCCACAAGGATCTTCAGCGTATCCGAAAGCTGTCAAAACTACGCCTGCAGAGCCCTCGACTTCTGCCCTCATCATTTCGCGCAATAAGTGAGTAGCCTGCCCGTCCTCCTCGTCATGTCCCTTTTTCTATATCTTCAATGGCCATCCGGTGTGGGGAAAAGTAGCTGCGGGCGAAGCTATTGAAGAAATTTATTTTTGCTACCCCTGTCAATCGTTTGGATAGATACTCATGTTCTACAACCGTATAGGCACTGGCGGTATATCTCGTCCTTCCATGGTCCCTGGCTCCAGCTGCCTCCTGAGATACTCGAGAGTCTAGCAAACAGCAACTATGCCTCGCCGCAGCCACAGCCAATCGACCCGGCCGTGTTCTTCGACCTCATCAAGATCCGTCAACTGATCGAAGAAGCCACTGATCTCGCCGTTCGCGCAGTCAATGGAACCACCTCTCCCCCCGGAAGCAATTCTTTCAACTCGAGCTATGGTCTGATGGGGAGCGGGGGCGGATCTATGGGGAGCTCGATGAGGGGGAGCAGAGGCGATGGGACAACGAAGCTGAGCAGAGAACGACGGCATCGCATGCGAGAACACGCATCGCAGAAACTATCCAAGGCCTATGCGTTGGATGAGATTGCTGCAAGCGTGGCAACGATGCAGTCTGCCTCTGCGCTGGAGCAAGTGGCGAAGCTGGTTCTACAGCGAAACGAGCATGACTGCGATGCGAAATATGTACACTTTTTTCACGAGAAGATCCCTTCCCGTTCCTTGGTGCAGTGCACGAGTCTACAGCCATTAGATGATATAATTGCCATACGACAGCTGGATGGGGCTGTTTACCGGACCAGGGCAGTGGCTAAGATGCTAAAGGACGACCTCGTTGGTGCAGCGAGGGATCTTACGGATGGACTTGCGGCTTGTCGTGCCTGTGCTAGGCAGCATGACGATGGCAAAAAAGAGGTAGAGCTCGCGAGCGAGAGCACCAAACGAAAATCTACCCCGTCACGATATAATCCGAAAATAGAGGAGAAAGACCAGCCACGCGGCCTGGAGTCTCAGCTACTTTTCCACAGAGCAGGGGTGTACCTGAGCATTGCAACCCAGCATATCCATGAAGCATTGAGCGCGTGGGAAAAGTCCAAGGAGGTTCGAGACTCGACTAATGGCGACGGCCCCAAGGAAGTGATTGAAAATGGCGAGGGTCCAATAGAGAAGCAAGCTCACCGGCGCTGGCTGGAGGCACGCAAGATCGTCAAGACAAACGCTAGACGGGCTCTTCGGGACTATCTAGCCTTCTTGTCGCTCATTCCCTATACACCGGGTCCATCGCCTGAGACCATGGCTGATGGCACCGTGACGACGGTGTACAAGGTCCACCAAGTATCGGCTCTGTTCTCTTCACAGCCTCCTGCGGATCTCCCTCCATACCCTGAGGAGTCCGAAGCGTTGACTCTCAAAGGGCAACGACCCAGGACTCCAACTGTCTGCCACGAAGCCGTGACCTATCACCCTCTGCTCACCGACGCCCTCCATTCTGTTCTGATATGCCACTCCATCCTCCAGACGCCAGAAAAGGAGTTCCTCCGCCACGCTCACATGGTAGCCCGAGTAGCACGCATCTGTGACGGATATCCAATCTTCCTCGCCCCCCGTTCCCCTTCCCGCTCCGACTGGATGGAAATCCTGCACCGCACGGACAACTGGCTCAAACTCAAGCAACCATGGGAGATACTCTGCGCTCCCGCACCGCTCCCGGGCCATCCAACCGCATACAAGAAGGGATCACCCGAGTCAATTGCGGCGGCAGCTGAGGCAGCCGGCCGTGAACTAGCTCTGGAGACCGGCCAGAAGGAATTCCTTGACGAGAAACCAGTACACACTAACCATATTACCAACGCGGTGTTCAAGAGATGGGCACAGGAAGACGCCAAGGGCTTTCCCTTCTGCAGCGAGCGAGCGGAGGCGGTTTCATGGTGGATTCGCATGGCCCCTGTCTCTGCTGGCACGGGGCGCAACCGAGGTAAAAAGAGTGTTGGCAATGGCAAGGAGGAGGCTGACAACGAGCAGAAACAGGGACTTGCAGACGATAAAGAAGCAGACATTTCTGTTCAAGATCTGGCTATTGATTAGGACTTAAACTCGCCATCTACCTCGAATTTACATCCTGACTTGGTTTTCTTTCTATCTACTTATGTCTCTCGGGCCTAGCTAAAATGCCATAACTAATGATATCATGTTTACCTATCCTCCTTATCCTATCCTATCCTTATACTACCTAGGTAGATTCCATATTGCTTATTAATTTAAGTATCCAATGAAAGTGCTTAGAGCAGGATTCGCTTATGTTAGCGTCTTCCTTTGCTGTATAAAAACATCTTCCTCCTTCGCCTTTTCTACTTTTCTTTCTCTTTCTTTCTTCATACTTACCTTGTTTCGGGGATCGCGATCATAGAGGCGACTCTCCACAGAAGGGTCCCTGCATTGCACTTCGCGGTGGACTCGTCTTGTTCATCGGCCTTCGGGTCTTTGAGAGGCACATTCTTTGGCATATAAAACTTTTCATCGATCATATCTGCTTTACGCAGGAGGTTGAAGAAGAGTGACCCTTAGTATAGATGAGTTGATAGACATCGAAGAAGTTATGCGTATCCATGTCGATATCAGGGACCCTGCTAGATCTAGCGAGTTTATGTTGCATCATAGACGTGGCGATGACCATCGCCACCTACTCAGCCCTGTCTTCTACATATATATTCCACCACCACGCACAGTTAAACAGCTTAACAGATACTCCCAGGAGCGCCACGAATAAGAACAGAACAGAACAGAACAGAGAAGAAGATAACGAAGAACAAGATGCCCGTCCCACTCGGTCAAGACAAGGGCTCAGCGAAGAAGGATCACTCTACATCAGGCCCTCATGGCAAATCCAACGTCAACGATCCGCTGTCGTCTCCCTCTACCATCACTACAACTACAACCTCCGAGTCTCGAAACACTTCTCAGACACCAACAGTCCTAGGCCCGGGCCTTATGACCCAGGCAGAGGTCGATCGACTATACGAGGAACGCATGGAGGAGGAGTACGCGAAGCGAGAAGGGGGCGCTTGATCTCGACAATCATTTGAACCGCAGAGGATGGCCACCAAGAGACATGATTCCCACAATTTATGTATATATGAACACTTGAAGACGGCTGCCTGGTAACATAACATCTACCTCGCCGGCGCTGTACGATATCTCCGTTAAACCCATCTCCCATCAGCCGCTGTATACCATGGACTTGCGTAGCGAAAGTGTATCCTCTACATGGTCTACCCTTGACAGTGGCGGGGTATCAAGAACATGAAACAGCGAGTGTACAAAGCTTGATAGTAATCAGCGTTGATCCGACTGGCTGCTGGACGGTTGATACGTAGATGCTTGTAGAGAGCTACTTCTTGCTTACATTCATCGACGGCCTGATTGGCTGGATGATTTGTATATCCCTATCCCGTCATCCTGATAGAGCATAGTATCATGGAAATGGACGCGCAGGATGGCTTTAAGCAGGGAGACAGCATGCTAGTGTGTGTACAATCTATGTTTAAATGGGAGATGACGCTCTCATGGTGCATGCCCGGAGGACTTTTGAACATAGAGATGACCTGACGGCGCCTGTTCTGCTTCCTGGCTGCTTCTTGCCTATACAATTATCTGAAGCCTTCACAGTAGCTTCTATCAGACACTGCACTTCACAAGCCGAGACTTCTAGAGACTGCCAGATTGCCAGATTGCCAGACCGTTAGACTGCCAGAGACTGTCAAAATCTGTTTGATTGTGTGGTAGACACATCTCTGTGCAAGCATATTCACATATCTAGTCTAGATACCCCAAGATATCAGAACTCAGCTCAGAATGAGTGGTGAGCCCTCAATTCCCTGTCACTTCTTTTCCCATTCACTTCTTTCCCCTTTCACCTTTCCCCTTTATGATTGAGTGGATAATGTAAAGGAGATAAGGCTGACTAGCTGTATAGACCGGCCATTACTCGGTGGAGGCAACTTCAACGATGGAAACTCCCAGATAGACGCCGAGGGCCAGACTTTCTCGCCATACAGGACCTTCCCACCCTCACCATCTGAGAGCAGAGGGACTTCGGACAGTGCCATCTCGACCCGGACGAGAGTCAACCCGAAAATCGTATCTGATGCGATCCTAGGCCTGTCAGACGGGCTGACCGTCCCCTTTGCTCTCAGCGCAGGTCTATCTGCCCTTGGAAACACCAGGGTCGTGGTAGTGGGTGGCCTAGCTGAGCTCGTAGCTGGTGCTATATCCATGGGCCTGGGCGGATACGTCGGTGCCCGGAGTGAAGTGTAAGTCAGCCCCCTTTATATTCACTTCGGCATGACAAGTAACACGTCTTCAATTCAGCGAAGCATACGAAGCTACGGTTCGCGAGACGAAACATCTAGTCAGGGCCTCTCCAACAGAAACCGTGAACATCATCCGTGAAGTCTTCGCCCCCTTCAACCTGCCCGACGAACCAGTGACCCGTATGAGCAACATCCTGCACGACTCTCCTCAAAAGCTCCTTGACTTCCTCGTCACTTTTCACCACAAGGAGGCGAAGCCCAATTGCAACCAGGCATGGATATCTGCCGTCACCCTTGCACTCGGCTATTTCATTGGGGGGTTCATCCCTCTCATTCCTTATTTTCTCGTTGACCACGTCTTGGTTGCTTTGTATTATAGTATTGGCATGATGGGCGTTACGTTATTGGTATTTGGGTATGTCAAGACCTGTGTCGTTCGTGGTTGGGCAGGTAAGGACAACATTGTGGCCGGGATCAAGGGAGGACTTCAGATGGTCGTCGTTGGAGGCCTGGCTGCCGGTGCATCAATTGCTCTTGTTCGAGCTATCAATCCTTCCGGGAGCGGGCCAGAGTGAAGGAAGCCTGACATGAGAACGACTAACGATATCCAAGACGACTGCTTAAAACTGAAATTTCCTTTAAAACGAATAAGATAAGAGCCATATCAAGATGCGAGCGCTTCCTCGATTAACCCCTTTGCCTGCTCAGACATTGTAATCTGTAGTGCCAGCTCATGGCCCCGTTCAGACATCTTCGCCCACGTCTTCTTTAAAATATTGACCACCTTCTCCCTATCTCCGCCGTGTTCCTGTTCAAACTTATCAAACTGGTCGGCCAAAAATACCAGACACGCAACGTCCTCTAGAACCTGACACTCTGCGTCTCGCTTCATATCGTCCTTTCTCACCAGTGCCGCCACCCTCGCCGCGTCCTCTGCAGAGTAGCCACAGCTCAAGCAGATATCCTCTGCATGCGTCGCCTGACGCTTCTTCTGGGCCGTTCTCCACGAAAGATAGCCCATCCGGTTCATCGGATAGTCGGCGCGAGGGATCTCCCATCGCTGCAGATGCTGGGCTCGTACAGCCAGACGGAGCAGCTCGGACGGCTTGTGATCATGCTGGAGAAGGTATTCTGTCATTCTGTTTGCATAATGGAGTTCGTCTGGTATCTGCTCTTCTACATTATTGGTGCCAGTAACTGCGACGAGTTTGGGGTCCTTGGAGTGGACGTCATCGATCTTCTTCAGCGCAGCCTCGAATTTAGAGTCCATTGCCAGGTAATAGTTCAATAAGAATGAATAATCAAAGAATATACAAAATCGATAGGAATATTAATCAATTACTGGCAGGAGAAAGAAGAATTTATGAAGGATGGAAGAGTGCAAAAGCTGCAAACTTCGGCATTCTGCATCATGTCGCAATTTGTGCCCCGCCACTAAAACGGCCGGTTTTTTTGAGCTTCACGGTCTTTTACTCTTTAACCGCCCGTCGTTCTCTATCAATCTGTGGTGTATGCACTTCACTAGAAGATAAAACGGGTCTTCACACACCACCATGTCCTGCACGGCGTCGCAGAAATACCTGAGCTCCAGGGGAGGCTCGTACGGGGTATGTACCGATATCGCATCCAGTTGACTCACCCCCTGCCAAAATGCCTGAACAGCAACATTCTCGACCAATTCAACTGACATGGATGAATTGAATAGTTCTCCTTCGAAGAGGTTGTCCTCAAAGGCCTTGCATCTGACGGCGGCCTGTTTATCCCGGAAGAAATCCCTTCTTTGCCCGCCGACTGGGAGACCAAATGGCGCAACTATAGCTTCCAGGAGCTGGCCTTCGAGATCCTGTCGTTGTACATCTCTCCCTCTGAAGTTCCGACGGATGACCTCAAGGATATAATTGCTCGTAGCTACGGGACATTTAGGTATGCTTTGGCCGTTTATACTCTTCTCAATTGGTATGGAAATTTAGTTACTGACTCAAGATCCTAGGTCTCCGGATATCACGCCCCTAGTCACATTGGACGAGCAGAAGCGACTATATCTTCTAGAGTTATTCTGTGGACCAACCTTTGCTTTTAAAGATGTGGCATTGCAATTCCTTGGAAATCTGTTTGAATACTTCCTCGTGCGACGGAATGAGGTATGACCATCGAATATCTGTTTAGGAGATAGCTCAGCTAATCATATGTATTTGCTATATCTAGGGTAAAACCGGCAAGGACCGTCATCACCTTGTAGTCATCGGCGCTACGAGTGGAGGTATGTGGTCTTATGTCCCTTGACTATGGGTGAAGGGGGCTTACTGACGATTTCCCAGATACCGGTTCAGCTGCTATATATGGACTACGCGGAAAGAAGGACGCTTCCGTATTCATTCTACATCCAAAGGGCAAAGTTTCACCTATCCAAGAAGCCCAAATGACAACCGTGTTGGATCCAAATGTTCACAATATCAGCGTCGAAGGTATGATTCCACTGGCGTCTAATGGCTATTTCTATCCACAGACTTGGCTAATTGTCGGCTCTAGGCTCCTTTGATGACTGTCAGGATATGGTCAAGGCACTATTTGCGGACCCTGAGATCAATAAGACGTACAAACTAGCTGCTGTGAACTCGATAAACTGGGCGCGCATCCTAGCTCAAATCACCTACTACTTCCACTCCTATTTCTCCCTTATTCGATCTCCCACTTACGTCAAGGGGAAGCCTGTTCGCTTCGTTGTGCCATCGGGCAACTTTGGTGACATTTTGGCCGGCTGGTTCGCAAAGCAGATGGGCCTTCCTGCAGAGAAACTTGTCATTGCCACCAACGAGAATGATATTCTCAACAGGTTCTTGAAAACCGGCCAGTACACGAAGCAAGCGCAAACCCAGGAATCAAAAGATTCACCTGCCGTTAAGGAAACATGGAGCCCGGCTATGGATATCCTGGTATCTAGCAACTTTGAACGACTACTCTGGTTCCTTGCCTTCAACACCTACGGACAAGGGGATGTAGACGAGAAGCGCAAAATAGCCGGCAACACCGTCCGGGGCTGGCTGCAAGAGCTCTCTAGCAAGGGTGGATTTGGAGTCGACAAGAAGATATTAGAAGCTGCTCAGCAAGAGTTTGAGAGCGAGCGGGTATCAGACGAACAAACCATCGATACCATCCGTTCCGTATACTCGACCTGCTTCCCACCCGCTCCCGCTAGCGCTGGCACCAGAGGAGAGGCAGGGGGTTACATTCTCGACCCTCACTCAGCTATTGGAGTTGCGGCTTCGCAGCGGTCGATATCCCGATACCCAGACGCGTTCCACATTTCTCTATCGACGGCGCATCCGGCCAAATTCGCTGAAGCCGTCGATGCAGCTCTCCGAAACGAAAAGGGATATTCATTCGATAATGTCCTTCCTCCAGAGTTTGTGGGGCTCGAGAAGAAGGAACGCCGTGTCATCTCTGTGCCGGCTGGAGCTACCTGGAAGACCGTTGGGGAGGTCATTAACTCTAATGTTTCTGTTTAGATAGTTTTTGCACATATACTTGAGATTTAATAAATTCACCTATTCATGTATATCCGTATAGAGATCTCCTTGATCCATGTATCCGGTCATGCAGACGATTGTACGCTGGTGGCTGGCGGCTTAAAACCAGGCTGCATATTATTAATGATATCATCATCCCCGCATTTACGTACTTTCGCCCGTACATCCGAGAGAATGTATTCGAACCTGTTACTCATAGAATGTTATAGACGAGGTATATAAGAGTGACATCCTACCAGAGAGTATAAGCATACATTTACGTGTTAAAATGGACAACAGTCGACCTCTGAGCTCGTTCCGCCTGCTATCCTTTGATATATTCGGCACTTTGATCGACTGGAAAGCCGGCATCCATGGAGCCCTCGAGCCATTAATCCAGCGACTCGACGACTCGAACCCCTTAAAGTCCGATCCCAAGGCCCTGGGAGCTGAATACGACAAGCATGAGCGAGCTATCCAGCCAAAGAACCCGCAGTTAACCTACAACTTGGTCCTCAAGTCGACCTACGAGAACCTGGCGAGGGAGTTAGGGGCGGCTCCCGCAGACGAACATGTCCTCGACACAGAGGGAACAGCCTTTAGCAAGAGCATTGGTCACTGGCCGCCGTTCGACGACACTGTCGCTGCCATGCGCCGTCTGAAGAAGAAGGGCTACAAACTTGTCCCCCTGTCGAACGTGGACCATGAGTCGTTCTCCAAGACCCTCGCAGGACCACTGGGCGGACTGCGTGAAGGACTGGGAGAAGGGGAACCGTTCTTCGATGCCATTTACACAGCACAAGATATTGGATCGTACAAGCCCGATCTACGCAATTTTGAGTATCTCGTTTCACACGTCAGGTCTGAATTCGGAGTCGAGCCGACGGACATCCTCCATGTCGCGCAGAGCCTGCACCACGACCACGAGCCGGCGAAGAAGATGGGACTGCATAGTGTCTGGATTGCTAGAGGGCAGGGCGATGCGGCCGAGTATGCAGGGAAGGTCGCCTTTGGATGGCGGTTTAGCGATCTAGCTGCGCTGGCAGACGCTGTCGAACGGGAGCCGTAGCACAGAGTTACACAGCAACGATAAGAAGCAATACATATGATATAACATAATAATATAATAGTAAAGAGAAGAATGATAGTAAAGAAGTAGAAGAGAAGTAAGAGTGAGGTCGAAGTAAAGGGGTGACTAAGCAACTGACTAAGCATCGAGTTTTCGAAAACCGCCCGACCTTTTGACCTTTTGCATATCTCCAACTTCCAGCCAAGTCGCAGCCAACGCCCATCCTCACGCCGACAGGTTCATCTCACGCTCAACGCAGGTTCTAGGGCTCTGGGTTGCTTTCTCCGGCAATCCGCTACCCGCTATCGCATCTCCCGGCCTCGTCTCATGCCGCCCGCGCGTCTCTCTCTGCTCCCAGCCCGACTTCATCCATCGCCACATCCAGGCTCGTTGCTCCTGCAGAGCCGCTCCCATCGCCCTCACGCCCGCGTCCGCACTTCTCTCTCCTACTAAAGCGCCTCGCCGTCACTTCTCTCCCTCCCCGTTGATGTCATTCAGTTTTCAGAACTATGAATCAAGCTCGTCCACGACACAGTCGACGTCTCCAGCCCATACGGCCTCGCAGTCGGCTAACCTCTCTTCCCCCCCTTCGTCGGTCGCCATGCATCCCCAGTCCGTCTCCCAGTCGACTGTAACGACGTCCACCTCGTGTCCTACGCCCGCCAGCAGCGTTAGCGGGCCCGCGAGAGATGGACAGGATGGCACAGGAGCGGCTTCTGTCTCGTTTGTAATGGGCCAGCCCGCGTCTGCTGCCCTGGGGAACGATGCGAAAAGTCTCGCGCACGACCTGTCCAATGATGAGAAGAGTATCAACACGCAGAAAACTTCATCTAACGATAATAATGATCACGATCCAATGGATATTGACTTGAAAGAAGGAGGTGGCCCACCGGAGGACCTAAGCCTGGAGTCCCTCCAACGCGATGTTGGAGAGGCGATAGGGCTCTGCAAATCCAGTAAGGCTTTCAACCTTGCCAATTCTTTCTTTTGGCGTTTACGTTGTTAGTTCGATGTTAACACAGGACAGCCTACACTTCATCTCTACCAACCCCCAAGTTTGATATCGTATCACTTTACGGTTTAGGGCCCATAGCTGCATCGGTAGCTCGCACAGATCCCGTCACGGGTGAGAAGATAAATCGGCTACGGAAGTCTTACGAAGGAAAGATAAAAGGCCTGGGGCTTGCAGGGAGGAACAAGCCAGTCAAACAAGAACCAGGCGCGCCTGGAGGACTACGGAATCTAATGATGTGGCCTGACGAAGAATGGTACAACCAAAAGGTTGCTGGAAAGGAGATAACGACTGCGGAACCGGATACCGCATTCTACAAACAGCAGTTGAAAGCCATGAAACTGGAGCCAGGATTAACGCCAAGGAACGAGTATTGGGAAGACGTGCTCGGTCATGAGAAACCATCTAAGAATGCTCCCGAGCAGCTACCGAAGAAAGCAGGTTCAAGCTCTCTTAAACAAACACCTCAGAGCAATGGTACGCCCGTGGCCCATCATTCGACGGTGGTGCCTGACCCGGGAAGGCCAAAACGCGCTGGTCGAAAGAGAAGTTACCATGACAGTAGCTTTGTTGGGTATGGCGAAGGGTTCCCGGATGATGATGAGCTCGAAGGCTCCCTCTATTCAAACGAGGATGATGGAAGTACTTCAGGGAAGAAAAAACGAAAGAAGATGGTTGGTTTTCCCTGCATATCGGTTAACTTCCCCCGAGCTACTACTTTTCTACAACCCTGGTTAAAAGTACTTACTTACCGTAACTCTAGCAGGAGCATGCGGCAGGAGGTCCTCCATCGTTCGAGCGGGGTGGCAGCTACGGTGTTGGAATGTTCGGCATAGGTGCCCGATGACAATAACCCAAACTGGTTCAACTTTCGATGACGTCTGTTGGCACTAACATATTCGATCGTCTTACCTTCTCTTTCAGTTATTCAACCTTCCCAGCAGCGTTCAGGGTCGGCTTACTACTTTCGACATCAACAACCTCGGTGCAAACCGCCTGTTCTTCCCCCTCCTTAACCTCATTTCCTCCCTGTCCCCTTCCCCTTCCCGAACTTTCATTCCTTAATTCTTCAAATTTGCATAGTGGTGCAGGATATACCCGCTTCGGTCAAAACGGCGTTAAGGGTTTTGTTGATCCCTCTTTTTCTTTCTCTAATCTGCGGTGTTTCCCGGCGATTCAACAGGACGGTGGTTGTATTGGGTTCTTTCTTGTCGTTTCTGCTTTTATTTTCTCCTTTTTTGCTGGTATTTTCTTGTTATTTTGCCTTCCCACGGCCCTTTTTTTACAACGTTTTATTTCAACTTCCCCTTAATGTGGTGAAGACTAGAGGACTGAAGGTGGAACTCTCCAGAAGTTCCCTCCGCAATACTTTCTTTCCCTGATATTCTTGTTTTACTTCCTATTTGTTGCTCTTTTTTTCAGTCGAGGAGATGTGATTGTGAAGACGAGTGACCTGAGTTGACGAACAGGGTTTGGCTGTTTGGTTTGACATGCCAAATAATCCGTGTATCGTAAGCATAACTAACGTACATAAGTGTGTATTCCCAAAGAAAATTAAACAAACCAGATTCAATATCATCCGGTGGATGATGAATTGTATTATTTATTTTTACTCGATTCGGTAATATCAAGATCTTTCCAACGAGTTATTTTAATCGTAAAGTGAACTCGAGCGCTCTCGTCTAAATATATCGTTTAACAGAAATATACGCGGTAGACGGTCCCTTTAGCCACCAAGAAACATTAAGAGTTGTAGGATAAAAACGAGATTCCATGGTGAATGAATGGACCTGCCCTTCGACTTCTTGGTGTTCGACTTGAAATAAATGGGTATAAAGGACCAACAGATAGATATGACCGTACCGTGAAAGTATCCATGACGAGACTAAGCCAAACCAAAAATAGTTCATTTAAGTAAACTTCCATAGGGCCGAGAACGATAGCAGGCAAAGATAAAATAAAGGACATATGTATTCCCCAGGGGTATATATAGTACTTAGGCGATTCTCGCGGACCATAACATCTCGTTTCCAGACAAGATAAGTGGAAGTGATAGCGAGCCAACGGAGAAGACCAAAGGAGACCCAGAATATAACCAAATTCAAACACATTAAAACATTGACTAGCTGAAAAGACGAAAAACAAAAAAAAAAAAAAAAAGAAGAAGAAGAAAATAGAAGGCCGAGGCATGATGACACACCGTTTCGCTAAGGTATCATGCTACTACTGTAAAACGTGGCTGATTCTTCAACAAGCTGTGAAACATCTGGTAAATCGTGTCCAAGCGTATTCATCAGCTCTTCGTGTTCCTGGTAGCTCAACCTCCGATCTCTGAATAATGACGACTGGTATGGCTGGTTGTAGAATTGGGAATATTGATCACCGATAGTCCCTATCCAGGACATGGGCTCGATGGCAGCGCTAGGGAATGTAAGATAGCTTGCTGTTGTAGAGGCAGTGGTATAATTCGGGTCCCAGTGATGCAGCCCGGGCAAAACCGAAGGGAAGTTATTATGGAATGAGCTCGGATCGAAATGATTCCTTGATTCCGGGCTAATATCGCACTGCGCAAGATGGTTGACTTCTGGGGATGAGAATGGTTGGGCCGGACTTCTTGAGTTGGGATCAATGCTAGTTCCGTTCCCGTTTGTATAATTGCTTTGCTGTGACGGGGTGAGGTCGTAGGATAATGTCGACATTGTTGTATGGGGGGAAGGGGTTGTAGACTCGAACTTGGGCTGTCCAGGGTGGAGTCGTACAGTCTCGAAGGAGGCGTGAGAGTGTGTTGTATCGTAAGGACTTGAGCTAAGTTGATTGGGTGTAGACCTTGGCTGCGACATGGGGGAGGGAACCGTGGCGGTGTTCGGTGAATGAGACATGGGAGGTGGTGTAGCATATTCGGATCCAGGGTCTGGAGAGGGTCGGTTTGAAGGAGGTGAATGAACAACGTAGGACTCGTCGGTTGAATATGCTTTAAGGCAGCCAGAAATGAGGCTCTTGTAGAGCTCTAGGGCGGATTCGACTCCTGGCCATCGTTCTGAGCTGATGGCAAGGATCTCCATAGCGAGGCGGATCTCCGCTATTACGTCCTCAACCGGATGCTCTTTTCGGATTTCAGGATAGGAAAGTGACCATAGGATCGTATTCAATGCCATGAATACAGACTGCGTAAATATCCACGTAAGGTCCACCGATCCGGTGGCAACTTGCTCACGCTGTATCTTCACGTTAAACACGGAAGCGTCGTAGCATCTTTGAGCTGCGTGAAGTGAGGGTTCTGGAATTTGTGGAGATGGACGATACATGAACACAATCATTGTATTACGCCTGCCTTGGAACCTATTATATCACTTAGAATATATCATGATGTATTGCAATGGAGGAGATTAAGAAGAAACTTACCATAGCTGGCTGAACCCGCTGCCTTCATCGTTCTTTGGGCATAATTCAACCCACCTGTCCATTTTGTTTAGCATCTGCGCAAACCATGGATCTCGATCGTCTAGTGGAGTCGGCCGTTTGCAAAGGTACAGCTTCCGCCGAATTTCAGCCTGTAGAAGCCTCATCTTAAAGAAATGAATGGCAATGCACTTTTTCATTATTGGTTGTGCTCCAGGTAATACGCCGCCTGGGGTTATATAGCGGTCATCGCATGTCTGGAAAAAGTTCACATTGACATGGTCATGGCTCACGCAAAAGGAGTTTGGGCGGCCAAGGCTATGGGCGAGTCCGTATTCCATAGAAGTTATGATCCAGAACAACCTTCTTCGCATATCTATCTCAAGAAAACTAAGTGTCTGTCCGTTTTCTCCCTTCGTGATAGTTTCCTCGTCAGATATACCAAGGTCTTGACATATTTTAGCGGCCACCCCAACTACCCAGTAGGCGGCGGTTCTGGTCGGCGTGAGGAGGGAGTATAAGGCCATGAGAGCACAGCACTGTAATGTAGAAATGTCCATCTTGGCCAGACATCCATCGAAATAAGGCAGTGCGGCCAGGTAGTAGCTATCAGCCAACCCGGCATACTGTGCACTGACTCTTTGCATACTAATCGCTATGACAAGGCGCAGCTGGAAGTTTTGGCAGGGATCTTGCGATCCGTTCAGGATGACGTCGACGTCGGAACGAAATGTTGGCTCGTGCAGTATAGGGACCATGTACTGGGCTGTGGTAAACGCGTTAGTGGATATGTAAAGGTATATTATATATATATATATATATATATCGACATAGCGGACATGCATACCCTTTGCCATGAAAATATCGACGAGCTTATTCGTAAGTTCTCGAGGCGGTAGATTTGGCTCCGCCACAGAACTGATCATTGGGAAAACCTTTGATGTAGGCTTTTGGCTCTCGATATCAAAGACTGATTTGATCTGCTGTGCGGTATTATCGTTTACGACTTCCTTTATGGACTTTGAACCTGTGTTCTGCTTTGCCATGTCCATGACGAACCGAGTAATAGCAATGCCACTCGACGGGCCTAGGAACCTGGATTCATCGGTCTCTTTGAATTTGATCAAGCCGGCTCCGCGCGCCATAGCCTCAGCGTCAGGCGCACGGTCGGCCTCGTCCTCCAGCTCTTCGAGTTCATGGCCGAGCTGTCTGATTTTCTCCCGTAATTCTAAGATATATGTCCGCGATATGGTAGTTTCCTTGGTGTGGTCGTAGTATTCGCATTTCGAATTGCTCCTCTTGCATGGCTCGCACCGGGGAATGCCTGGGTCACAGCGAGATTTTCTCTATAGTTGAGCACGCGTTAGCACGAACACCAATGGTCTAGGCAGCCAGTTAACCGCAAATGGCTGCTAACCCGGCAATTATGGTGAGGGATAGAGGCTCGTATAGGGCATATATTAGGGATCCAATAGTCCTTACCTGTTTACAGCGTATGCAAGCTGTCAGGGTGTGTGCGATGCGGGGGGCGCTGGACTCGTCTGCTTGGGATGGATGGATCGCGCCTGAGGTATCCCGCGAACCCGAGGTGGTAGGCCCTGCGGCGACGGGCTCCATTAGGATACATGGGGTCTATACTGGGGTTTGGTCGTGTTCTCTGCCTCCCAGCATGGAAGATGTCAAAAGTGTCATCCGGGTGGGTTGATGTAGGGCTGAACTAAGCTGCGTTTTAGAGCGATCTCCTATTCCAGATGAGATCCATCACGTGATATGGTTGACCGCCCCTTGCATGTGCAAATACAAAGATATAACTTCAGCTTATACAGTTAAGATTGTGGAATGTACGGTGGATACGTTGTTTACGTTGTTTACGGGCTGAGATAATATGTAATGACCTCTGGTTGGGTGGGTTAAAGTGGTAGAGTGGCACATGCCACCATAACTATGTACAAGAATAGATATAGACATTGTAGATCAACAAATGTTCCCGAGAAGATATATATGTACACCGCATTCATTGCGGTTGGCCAGCTGCGATAGCCTGAGTTGCTTACTCAAGTTTGCTGAACATGGCCTTCACACCGGCCCAAGTCTCCTCACCGCTTGGGATGATCTGGTCTGGAGGAAGGACGAAACCGTACATGCCAGTGTCACGAAGTTCGGCAGCGAAGGCGGTTTCACCCTTGACCTCGTCAAGAACCCAGTCGACGGAGTTACCGTTGGCTTGGTAGATGGTGCTGCAGATAGGCCCGGTTTTGAAGCTGGTTCCATGGACGGCCTTGACGGCGTCAGCAAAAGAGCTTGCCATTTGCTGGAGGACATCGTCATTTGGTGCGCGAGCAGAGCAGCTGTATCCATAGGCTATGGGGATTAATGGAATTAGTACGTTGTTTTAGCATCAAGTTGAACGCATGAGGGTTGGGCTTACGGGTCATGAAGAGCTGAGAGTATGAGTGCCAGTCGACAAACATCTTAAGTCCTGCTCCATCAGCAAGGCCCTTGATGAAGCTGGTGCTGGCTTTGGTCTCAGGGGCGGATCCGGGAGAGGGTCCTATACTAGTTATTAGCGACAGGAACATATTAAACGTCTCTCATTATAGGATGGACAAACCCCTGTAGGTCTCGGAGCATGGGTCGGTAGTAGAGCCGTCACCTTCCCATTCATAGGGCCAGTTACGGTTGAGGTCAGTTCCATAGCAGCCTCCCTGGTTCTGTTCGCGGTTCTTGCGCCACATGCGGTCATTCTCGTTGGTGAAAACGAAGCCTACGCAGGTCAGTCACTTCGAAATTCTGGTCACGATCTCAAGAAGGTATGTATTTACCATCTGGGTTGGCAATTGGGAAGATGTAGAAGTCGAATTTCTCACGGAGAGCAGCTCCGGCCTCCTGGTCGTCGAAGAGCTGGGTGAGGATATATTCAACGGTCTAAAAAATCAATTAGATTTAGTCAAGATGCAGGGCAGTAGCAGCGAAGAAAAGATCCGAACCGGGATCGAGCCTTACCATGGTGGTAATCCATTCACGGGCGTGAACGGTTCCGTGGAAGACAACAGCTGGCTTGGAGCCCTTTCCGCCGCTTCCCCAGACATGGACACCAGTGATGTCACGGCCTTCGTGTGACTTGCCAGAGGTGACGATCTCGGCATTCTCAGAGTGGGAGGCTTGGAAGTCGTTCATGAACTTCAAATGGTCATCGTATACGTGATACGATTGGAACCAGGTGTCATTGGCCTTGCCATCTTTAAGTTAGAGTATTATTGTGAGCGATTTGATTTATTATAAAAGAGCCGAAGGTAGCAAATTAAACTTACAAGAGTAAGGGCGGAACGACATTTCAGAGGCAATCGATCTTCCTAGATCCTCATGCATGATTTGCTTCTTGAGACCGGCGGAGAGAGACATCTTCTCGAACTCGTCGATCTTCTTGGGTGGGACCACGATGTCGACATTGGCGTTCGAGGTTTTGGGGAATTTCCAGGTCTCTAGCCCCAACTTGTTGACAATGTTAGAGATCTTGCTTGGGTCTTCTCCGGATAGGCGCATGACTTTGTATCCATGGTAGTTGGCGCTCTGACTCTGGGATGGAATGGCACCACCTAGCGCTGAGCCGACCAGCGCGGCGAGGATTAAGATGGACTGCATGATTGAAAAGGAAACGTGATAGAAGCTCGTTAGAGCTATACAAAAGTAGCGGCTACAAGGAAATCAGACACCAGTGCCTGAGAGCGAAAGACAAACACCCAAAAAAAGTCTGGTGGATGAGACGAAGCCATTTATACTAGCTATGCCTCGGATTTGCCGATCAGCGGAAGAAAAAGAACATCTGCCGTGACGGCGGATAAAGTTCCTTTTCAGGAGTGGAGAAGGAAGATTGCAAAACAGTAGGTCAGGCTCTAAGTTTTGACCACTGTAAAAGACTTAGCTTCCACAGGGCGCTTCCAAATGACAAGCATTTGGATATATATGCTGTATACTCCGTACCCCATATATGTAGCGAACATATAGTAAACGGAAGCTCCGCCTGAGGAATACTTTCAAAGGAAAGGCGATGGATAGCGGCTGTAATCAACTGCAGTAGACAGCAGATCGAAAGTGACATGTGAAGCGTTCATCAACTTACGGGGTACGGAAGTACACCCTCAGGCGCGATAGGCACGCTTGATACTCCGTGCTGTGCACAATGTTGACTATGACACCATGACCAGGAACGAGATAGATGGACGACCTATCCCAGCCTCCTGCCGTAGCAAGCCGTTTGCCCCGTATCGGAGGATTGCCTTAAGGTACATTTGTTGTAGACGCAAAATAGAACGATATCGAAGCATGACGATCGCAGCATATACGGGTGGGCCGCGCACGACAGTATATGCAACGTGCAAGACAAGACGTCACTTGGACCGTACATACAACCATAGCGCAAGGCCTGAAGCTTCAGCGAATAAGCCTGGCTGAGCAAGGAATGGGGGGTGTCATGAATATCATCACGAGCCTTCAAGGCCAACGCGTCGATCTCTAGCTGACTCCACAGATAAACAATTGTAATCAAACTAGAGACCGAATTGGATTTAAATGGGTGTGCGTGATGCAAGGTTGTTTTGGAGGAACGGTTTCAAGCTACCACATCATATCGGTGGACCTGTTTGGTCTATTTTAAAGTTGGCTCGTATGTTGGCCGTCCACTGAGCAGTCTTCCAGACACAAGCCTTTCCTGAGTCGCGAGAGAGTTTCATCGTGTTCATTCCTCCTCTTATTTCGTCGGCCGCGCCGGAGATTTTAATTGGCGGTATCCTACCGTAAGGATCGCCCACACAGCCAAGGATTGCCCCGAGGATTAGTCGTTGGTTTGCCCCTGAAGGCCTGGGGTTTTGGAGGCGCTGGAAGTCGAAACTGCCCTTGGCAATTAGCTCGGCCCAGTGGACCAACGTTGCAGTTAAAGGCCGGGATAACTGCAGATTCAGGTCTAACCCCGCATTCCCCGGCCGTATATTCGTGCGGATCAGATATTTGTCTCATGTCGAAGGTCTTCAGCAAAATAACCGACCGGGCTTTTATTCCCGTTTATGGCATGACGCCTGGAGTTTAGCGTCCATCTCTCCAGCAGTCAGGCCGGTTTGAAATGCTATTCTCACGCTATATTAGTAGACAACCGCCGGGTCTTTCAGGCAAGCAAACATCCCAGGTCTCGCAAGGCGGATCCTCCAACGGGGACTTGCTGCTTTGACGTCGGCGAACGTCGTCGTGTCTTTTTGTGACTTCTTCGGCGTCCTACTTGGGAGCTCACGTGATTGATATACGGATATTTATTAATCCGACATATGCCATATCACGTGGAACAACAAGATGACTAAGAGTTGCACAGACCTCGGTGAGTTACCAAAAAGGGCAACAAAGTAGAACTACATAAATCTTTCTTTTGATACCACGCAACGAGGTATTACTATGTTACGGCGACCAGGAAGAGGGCATGATAAGTATAATTGGGGGTTTTTGGCATGGCGTCCTACCCTCATTGTCCCAGATATAGCACAGTTCACACAGCATGAGTGGCTAACATATGGAAGCGGAAGACATCTGGATCGGCTGAGCTGGGTTCCTGTGGAAAAGGGAGCAATGGTCTAGTGTCAAGAGCCTGATACCTGTGTGTGATACCATAATATGAACTGCAAAGACCTTCGTCGTTTAGATTATCGGGACTCGAATGGACGAAAACGTTGCAGCTGGCTATACGACACCAACCAGGTCTACAAACTCTACAGAGCACTCAGCGGCCGGCTAGACAGTTTCAGGGGTTATATCGCCACTTCTGTTCCACTTCATAACCTAAAAGAGGACATCTGCCTTTTAAGGACCCAAAAATAGAGCAAAATAGCATTACGGCAGTTTCACAGACAGCATCATACTTCATAAGAAAGGGGCCCTAGCTCCTCCATGCTTCCAATTGCTTGCGTGGCTGCTAGCAGCTGACGGTCGACTTACGCACCATTGCCATTATAGAGCAATTTATTGGTCGTATTTGGTCCCGGATTCCTGACACTTTGCTGTGCGAGTTGTTTAATGCGGTCACAGACCCTGTCTGGGCCGATGCCCTCGAGGACCATCAGATATGCACCCACTCCGCAAACATGGGGAGATGCCATAGATGTTCCTGACAGCGTGGCCGTTCCCCCGTTCGGAGCAGCAGAAAGTATTTCGTCTCCTGGAGCGTATACCGCAACTAAAAAAATAAATCTTGATAAGCGAGATGAACGACCCGATGCCATCCAAACGGGCACCCCTTTGGATGGGAATGAATCTAAGAAATCTAATCCTTGGTCGGAGAAAACATACCAACGGACCCATAGTTTGACCAGGACGTTGCTTGATCCTGTCTAGACGTGGCCGCAGCCGTGCAAACACCCCGTGCAGAAGCAGGAGAGAATTGACCCGCGTCAGCCTTGCATGAATTGGTTAGCTTTATTCTAGGGCTTGCGGCTGTTGAAAGGAAAACGGAAAGGGACTTAAGCGGAGTGGACTCACCCCGTCATTCCCAGCTGCCACAGCAAGGAATATACCAGCTCTCTGAGCTGCCTCCGCCGCCTCATTAAAAACGCGAGAGCCACGAATACCCAGACTCAAGTTCATAGCAGTCTTGCCAAGAAGGCCGTTATCCCTTGCATGGTTCGTACACCACTGAATGCCCCCGATAACACCACTGGTCGTCCCTGAACCTTGGGCATTAAGCACTTTTACTGCAATGATATTTGCCTTTTTAGCAACTCCATATGTTGCTCCAGCAAATGTCCCAGCGGTATGCGTGCCATGACCGTGTGTGTCCTCGTCCTTGTCATCAACGGTATTAGTTCCCCAAGATGCACGGCCGCCAAAATCGGGGTGACCGATATCGATGCCAGTGTCGACGCCGTAGATGGTAATGCCTCGACCAGCACTGTCATCGTACACATAGTCAGAGCTACCAGCTCCTCTATGCGAGATTCTGCCCAGACCCCATGATGGCGCATTGCTTTGGGTAGTGAGAGCGGACAGTTTCACGACACGGTCTATTTCAACGTAGTCGACCTATGGAAGCAGCAGAGTTAAGAACTTAACTCCATGGATATTTAAACCTTGGGGAGCAGCTGAGAACCTACAGCAGAACTTTCAGTGATCGCCTCAATTGTCTTTTTGTCGAAGATACCACTGTAACCCTTGAACCCTGGGAAATCGAAAGCGTTTTTAACACCATCCAACGGCGTCTCCTCCGGATCACGCTTGTTCAAGCTATGACTATGGATTTTAGCAGCCCAAACCTGGTGGTTTTTGAATTCCGATTCCGTGATGGCATTTTTCATCACGACGATATAGGAATTAGGGACAGCATTTTTGGTGTCGTCAAGGCCAATGAATTTAAGGGGCTTGGCAACAGACAGCGCAAGGATGGAAAAGGAAACTAAGGTGCGGAAGAAACCCATTGTCACAGCAGCAGAATGTTCAGTGGGTACAGTATAGAGAGAAATAACTCATCATAGTAGCATGGGATGGACTTCAGCAATTATATAGCATCGGCTTTCCCTCTTGTCAGCCCCCATGCAAAAAGGGTTTTGCAGAGTCGTAATTGCTGATTTTAAGGTCACAGTTCATAACGAGTGCTGCGTCTCACAGTACATGGATGATTCCTTGCTTTATGCGATGGGTGGCCGCTGCGAATGTGGTTCGAAGCAAACTTCATGAGCCAGGATACACTTAGACAATAAGATGCCATAGATGCTCTGCCACTTGCGGGAGACCACAGGCTAGGGTATTATCACCTATCACCCATGGATCGGGGTATTTTTGTCTGACGGCCACGGGCACCAATGCGTCATAGACTTGAAGCAAAACATGCAAGGTAACATCTTCGGGCAAGCAGAAAGCATTATACCAGATATAGCCCAATCGGCTAAGTATGAGACATGGCACGGATGAAACCATCCCGCTCGCCACTTAATATATCAGTTAGCAGCTTTGGGCATGTGCATGAAGAGCATGAAGGCCATCCATGCTTGGAATTAATGTTATAGGCTAGTACGATTTCGGTTATGGTGAGATGACAAGATTTTGCCATCAGGCAAATTACCCGCTGAGGTTGAACCAACTTGATATCAAGAACACGATGCCTCGTATCCCCAGATATACCCAACAGGTTTCCCACCGGTCGACCGTGTATCCCAGAGGTGCAGCTTATAGGCCTATCCAGGAAACCAGATAGAACTGCTCCAAGTAGTCAAGGGTAAAGATTGTTCCCGGAAGCCAGCTGAAGGAGGGTGAGGGAAGGAAGGATATTGGGTAATTCCTCAATCAACCAACGGCAGAGTGCTTCGGGATCAAGGATCGACTGCATCGCTCTGATTAAGTTTTTAATATTTCATCGAGAGAACACGACAAGAGACCTTGACAAAATGACACGGTCACTCCTACTTGGGTTTCCCATTCAGGCAGTCAAAAATTATGCACGGCAGTTGTATGTTAATATCATCCACGGATATTCCGTACGTTAGAATAGACGTTATGGCAAAAGATATGAGACACTCGGAGTATTTACCTAGTTCATATGCCATGGCGTTCTGCACTCTATACATAGTGTCGTCGCACGCATTATCCCATGGTACCCAAAGCAGGCGTAACCACTACTGGTTGTACAATGCACCACCGCTTATATAAACACGCGTATGTAGTTGTACAATCAGCCGAGACCAAGATCACGCATACCACAAATCCGATCTGTAGTTCGTGTGTGCCCAGCTTTAGAACGACCTGGGTCTGTCTCGTGGGAGACGCAGGTTGACTGACGTACTTCCTCATATCCAGGCAGGGAGGTATTCAACGAGGAATATATATTGCAATAACGCTTTTGGGAGTGCGGCGAAGCTCTGCAGAGCAAGCATAAATATGAATAACAGGTATTTGAAGGCGCAAATAAAAATCAAATATTGATATAGGAATAAGTTACGGGTAATTTAGTCCATATGTGTAGCATCTTTTAGCAATATACGGTCCTCTAACGGTTATGTTCATCTTCCATCTCCCAAGCGTGGTGGGAGCACTAACATGCATTGATTTGCATACTTAATCGGCTGTCGGTTATTGAAGTTTAAGCACCGAGTATGGTTCACAGATTTGGGGTAAATTTAACCATGTTAGATTCCGAGGTAATATCCGAAGGCTGATATTAGTACAAGCATTGTTTTGCTACGACTAGGACTGATACGATACCCCTTTTACTTTGGACCTAAAATTTTATCCCTTCTTGCCTTAATGGTATTGTTATGTCTTTCTTATAGGCTGTATTGGCATCAGCAGTTACCTTCCAAATGGCCTAAATGGCTGTGATCGTATGAGTACGACTTCGGCGGATAGATAATAGAGTAAACGTCACGATTATGATCGTGCGGAACGTCCACCGGTTGCAGGATATGACAGTCAATCCGTCATTGAACCACCGGCATATATGTTCTCTAGAAGGCACACTCGGCTGTCTACACCTATGCCAGCGGAAGTGTGTCGTTCTAACTCATAAAACGTGGTCAGACAAAGTCATAGGCCAGGCGATGGACCATGCTGGCTGTGAGAGTTTGAAATCTTTTCCGAGTAATGTGTTACTATTATATTAATACTGGGGGTTCAGCGGCGTTACATACACGGAGAATGACATAAACTGAATGGGTATAGTCAGTCAAACGACCTGAGAGTGAGATCACTCTTTCGAATGAGTGTAGTAGATAGAACTAGCGGTTAACAGGGAGCCCTGGTAAAACCTGTCTTGTCATATCTTCGGTCACTGCTAGTCGATAAGCTCCCATCTTGCATCTCTAAACTGGACCATCGGCCCCTTCTTTATGGGTATAAAATGTTCTACAAGCTGGTACTCATCGCGCCTGCGTCGACCGGGGTGTTTGTTGCCAGACATCCCCTCTCCACTAGGCTCTCTGAGTTCCTTGTCTTGGGGGATTCGGATATCAAATTTGAATAGCAGCATGGCGAGAGTAATTATGAGCTCAAGGTAAGCCAAATTCTTCCCAAGACAGCCATGGGGTCCAGCACTGAATGCAAAGAATGCAGATCGGGCATTAGCGACACTTTCAACTGTGCTCTTCTGATCGTCGGTTAACACAGAGCAGTGTTTATCGCGAGAAATCCATCGCTCCGGTCGATACACGTAAGGATCAGGGTAATACTGCGCATTATGATGGACAACATATGGGGAAACTCCAAGTGTCGTCCCCTCCGGGAAATGATTTCCATCAACGGCGAGACCTCCTGGTAGCACCTCTACCATCAAGTTGGTTGTTACTGGAGGGCTGAGTCTCAGGGTCTCATCAATGCACGCACGCAGGTAGACAAGACTACCAAGCGAGCTGCCACCACGAATTTCCTCAATAGAATTGAACATGGACCGTACTTCAATTGTTGCCTTCTCTAAACACTCTGGGGAATGAAGGAGATAGAAGAATGTTCCAGAGAGAGCCGTTGATGTTGTGTCAGACCCGGCTGCCATGAGAAGGCTACTCTCCGCGGCGAGTTCGGTAGGAGATAGCCCCTGGCCTGTCTGAGGGTCTTCTGCGTTAATGAGGTAATGCATAAGGTCCTTCCTGGGAAAATCGGCGTCGTTCTTTTCAGTGTCTTCAAGACGTAGGACCATCTGGCGGGCGGCATATTCCACATAACGTTTCCCGTCACGAGCCAACTTTCCTCCGAGAATCTCCAGTAACTTGCTACCAAGAAGAGGGCGAACAAACCTCACAAATGGCAAGTAACCGAACTATAATTAATTAGGTTAATTTTGGGATATAATTGGTTGAATGAATGTACTTGATTCGTTGGACGTACGTTGTAAAGGAATTCGGTTCCAGTAATCATTATAGCTGGGACATATCGATGCTCCTCACTCCTCATGCAGTTAAACTTGGTACTGAAGGTCAAGTCTCCCATGATATCGTAGTTCAGGTATGTACTCCAGCTATTCATATCCTGAGGTGTCCCCCATTTGCTAGGCGTTGCCGCAGTATTGCTTAGTTCCTCACAAAATATTTGGACATTTTCAATGATGAAGTCTTCAGAAGATCTTAGAGCAGAATCCGAAAATGCATATTCCATGACGCGGCGCCGGAAGCCATGCTTCTCCATATTGGTCTCGGTTTGGACCGTATGAGCTTTAGAAGCAGAAGTGTATAGTGTTTTATACCAGTCACCCTTTGTCACGTTTGCTTTTCGGGTATATATTTGCCGTATAGCTGAAGCGCTATTGATAGATATCTTATTCGGGCCAGTACGAACAACGGGGCCTATAAAAGATAAAGAATGGCGTCAGACAGCCAGGGGCCGGAATTTCGTCATCTCGCCTTAACTTCCATTAAGCATACCATAGATTTCATGTTGTCTTAAACACTCCAGATGCCGGTCTCCGCTGCAAACTTCGAAAAAGAAGGGCCAATCTGACAATTTACTCCAAAAGGGCCCTGGGTATTTCGCAAGAGGATGCAGCACCAGACGATAGATTGCAACCAGGGGGACCTAATAGGGTAAACCATTTGTTTATTAGCTGGAAATACTCTTTCCTTAGGGTATATAGGCTAATTCCGAAAATTGTGTATGAAAATGGCCGCTTGTTCTCACATAAATCGCTATGGCGCTCACGACTAGCGCTAGCATCCACTTCTCTCGGAACTCTCCGGGCATGGGGAATAGGGGCATGGAATCCATGTTTAACTTGGTACCAGGTCTAATCGTCACTTCTTGTGGTGGCTTGCAACCAGAATGACACACCTAGCAAAGAGGAACGGCCAACGCCCAATAATATATGGAAAAAGAAAAAGGAAGTCCAAGCGGAAAGGTAGACAGCGTAATGTGCCTTTGCTCAATTGTCGGATTTGGATCTTGACTGGTAGGGTTGCAATGCTTTCGTGATGTCAACCAATCCTATCAGCCGCATGATTCAACTGGCGCATCTTCATCGGACTAGACATGGGTTAGAGGGAGGATGAATGCAACCCACGCACGGAGTAAATCAGGGTGCCACCAAATGTTCTGCCACAAATGTAGCTCTTGAATGCAAACTCTGTGGACCGTTCCTTGGTAGGGATAAGTTATTTAGTTAGTTTTTATTTATGACAGAGGATTACAAGGATTTAATCGTCAGGCAAGAGGCTCTCTTTAGTAACTATCTACGGAGTACGTAGGTACGTAATTATTCCAGCACCCGAAGGTATTGTACCCTTTTCTCCTCTGATATCCTGCTTAATTAAGTATTCTATCCTTCCCTCTAGATTCTGTGGCCTAACGTACTTTGTCATAGGCGTTGCTAGAGAGTTTCTAATAAAGTAGCTTGTCTTAAAGTATTCCCGTGCTTAATACGAGGGTGACTTTGTTGTTGTAGGTTTCCATCTTTAGCTTCCTTGCTACGGGATTTATCGAGCATAAAGATTTAAAGATTTCAAAGCATACAGCCGCCTTTACTATCTACCTAGGTAGGTAAGAATGGGCGATCAAATACATAACTTGCGTGCTTTTGACGGTCACTCTCTTGTATGTGATCAAATTGGATGTATAAGTTGTACAGTCGCTATAAAGGAGTGATGTTGAAGTCATCTAAAGAATAGAACGTACCTAGGTAGATTCAATACGTAATACTTCCTCTTTCTCAAAACGCCTAATTATGATGTGTTTCTCCTTTTACATCCATTTAATACACCTGCCATTCCTAAGTGTGTAATTGCAGTTAGAGAAAGGAGTGGCCACCCCGGTGGCTAGTATTAATTTTTTTCCCCCCTGTCTTCCTTTGTTTTCTTTCTCTTCTTTTGTTTACCCAGTATAGCTGTTAAACCACTTTAAATTGCGTCCTTCGCATTTGATAGAGTGATCAGTCTATCATAGTTCGTGACCGGAACCTTGCTTCTAAGACCAAGTAGTAAGTTTGAGTCCCCTTTCAAGTTCCCCCGATGAAGAAAACATGTGAAAAGAACAGGGAGAGAGATCACCGGCCTCGACCGAGTCGAACTCGATGACCGAACTATACCCATCTGAGCTCTGGCTAACCAGACTCCTCTCTTTTTTTTTTTTTTTTAGATAAAGGGGTACCGTCAGGCCAGGGTATAAATCTAGTCCGATGCATAGCACTGGCTCTCAGTCTCATCACCACTCGACATCAAACTCTAGCCTTAGCTAACACAAGATGCGTGCGGCTTAGGTAGAAGACTCACGTGAAAGCATGGATTGGAGAACTGAAGTATGCCTGCTGTATATATATTGTGTGTTCCTATGATAATGGTGCTGTGATGAGTATGGCTATTATCGAGAGATGGTCAGGGGTAGTGTAAAGCATTTTTTTATTTTGTTTTAGGGGAATGAACACATCGAATAGGGTATAATATGTATGAAGCTAGAAGTACGCATTTTGGGCAAAAATCAAAGGAGTGATTTCAATAATACAACAATGATGAAGCTCGCATTTAGCTCATTTTAAAAGGACTCATAATACCGGAGAGATGTTCCTCCCAGAGCCTTTCAGCTCGGTGGTACATTCTCTATATGTCACAGTATGTTATTTAATCATAGTCCATCGACGTGAAAAGAACAAGTTTGAGGAGCAGGAAAAGAATGTGAGGAGATTGTTACCACAGGCGGTTAAATGTTTTCGGAGAGCCATGGAAGCAGCACGTGAGCTCACGTCATGATCCATGATCCAACCATGGATGCTTGACTTGGCGCACTATATAGTTAAATACCTGCCATCCCGGGACAAAAAGACCTAGTGTCCAATGGGTACCATTGGTAATATAGGAACAAGTCGTGCCATACACAGGAATCTGACAATATATCGGGTTGGAGTACTGTCAGATATTACATCACGTCATCTCATCCCCTACCCACCCCTCCGCTGGGCGACTATATGTAGCCCCTTGGCGTCATCATTATATAGACCGGAGAAGTCAAGGACAAGCACGATATGTGATATAATGCATTTCAGGCAAAATCGAGGGTCTCCTGCGCACACCATGCCCAGAATTTTGCAGCTTTCCCTGACCCGCCTTCATTTTCAGAACGAAACGAGTCTTCAATATCCGGACGTAGATAACCAACACATCCCCAGGGCCATATTTGTGCCCCTGAATGCTTTTCGATTGTCAAATCTGACGAGAGCCCTGCATAGAGCTCTGTATAAGCACCAAAGCGGGCTGGCCACAGTGCAACTCCCTGCAAATATAGCCCAACCGGTTGAAGAAACGGCAGCATTACACCCCGTGTCAACTCGGTATCGAGATTCCCCGGATTGAACGCCTTTTTGCCAATTAGTTACTAGGGTAAAGAATGATTAAAAAGAGAAAATGCATACAAGGTGTAAAATATTGTCCCCTTCCCATTGCTTCCCAAATTCTGATGCTAGTAAGTTGGCAGCCGCCTTAGAAATAAAATAATTGACCCATATATTTCTAGAGGGTATTGGTACCCCTGACTCGTCCAGGTTGATGCCACCTTCTGGTGCAAAATCAGCAACAAGGGAGCTAGCCCAGCATACCCTGACAGAACCTGTCGGAGAAACCTCTGCCGTCTTCTTTAGTATTGGATGGAGCAACCTGGTTAATAGGTAGTGTCCCAGAGCGTTTGTGCTCAACTGATAGTCATGTCCCTACGAGGGTGGTTAGTAAACACCATCGTCAACAAGGAAGCTACTGTGAGCTAAAAGCGCAAAAATTCACTTGTTTTGACCTGATTACAGGCGGTAGTAAGGTTCCAGCATTATTCCAGAGCACATCGAGCCTCTTCTCCTTGCGAAGGAAATATTCAGCTGATGGTTTGATCGAATCCCAGTCAGCAAGGTCCAGGGGTAGCCATGCCAGGTTGCCTTTGGAATCAGGGTACCAGGCTTTAATAAGTCGAATTGCACCATTCGCGCGGCTCTCTGACCGACATGCTAAGTATACACGAGCATTCGCCCCATAAAGAATTTTCGCAAGCTGAAAACCGGCACCAGCGTTGGCTCCTGTTATTATGAACACCTATCCTATACTCAGCGCGGAATCTTTATGGGGTATTTGGTGGCTGTCAGGTCGATGGATACCTTTCCACTCTGGTCAGGAATGTTATTTTCTGTTATTGGTGGCTGGGAAATCCACACACTTTGGCTCCATATGGCGCCCATGTCTCCCAAGTTGTTGAATAGCGCAAAATCTTTGGTTTCGAACTGCTTTCCATCCTGGACAGCTTCGTCAAGACTATATAGGCTCCCACAACTTATATCTTCGTATTCTGGTGGAACATCCTTTGACTGAATTTTGGGTGTTCGCCACATTGGCTGTATCGTATCACGGAAGTTCTAAAACAAATGATCTGCTTTAGCAATCATTGATGGAAACTTTTTTTTTGGGCGCCAGATATTAAATATTACTGGTTGAATCTCAATGTGGGTAGCACGGTCAGAGCCCTGCGTGAAAGGGCCACGAGCAAATGGGCAACGCATGAGCAGCTCAACTGGAAAGATGGGGATGGAATGCATTCAATTTGCTTCATCGCGTGGGAGCCATATTCATGTTCGAATAATAGTTACCTCTGGTGTCGATGTCAGCTCTGCTAGCTAACGAGTTACCCCTTGGGCGTCGCTATCAAACCCATTCCCTCTTAACATTAAAAAATCCCTGGAATTAAATTCCACCTTACTTTCTGGCGGTATAAATCCCAACCATGGCCATACTTTTTGGCACATTTGGCATCATCACGCACACTTCTCATTGCAAGAAAGATGACTGCGAATATCGATTCTGTCCAAGGTAGAACGCTGCTAAACCCGCACACACCACCCATTGCTAGGGTCATTATTATCATGCCGACGTAATTTGGATGGCGGACAATTCCCCATAAACCTTAGCATTTCGAGTTAGCCACTGCAGCGTAGAATCAGAGACAAAATTGATTATGATAGAAGAAGGCAAAGCCTCCGAACATACCAGAACTAGCTAAAAACGTTTTTCGACGGACACCGTCAGTTGTAACGTATTGGACTTCAATGGGCTCTACCATTTTATCCCATACTATACAATCGCCTTGACAATCTCGGACCATATTTTTCTGGTCGCTTGCAATGTTGTAGATCGCATATCCAACTCCTCCTACAAAGAGTAGAAAAAGAGAGGCCCCCGGTGAGATATCAACTGGATAGCGTGCCAAGTACTGTGAGTGAAGAGTATACATTGAACCCAGGAAAGTTCCAGAACCGAAAGTAAAGTAGTATCCAAAAGATTCCTCACAGATGTCTATGCTGCGTAGGTACCTGAAAAGTTTCAGCTATCGCCTTATACTAGTGACACAGTGAAGAAGTGCATACCAACGTTCGTTGTAAAAAAAATCGACCGTGATGACGGCTCGTAGAATGCTCACAACGAGAATTGAGTTTGTGACAAAACCATGTGTTTCGTATTGCCATGCAATAAATGATAGATCGCTACGTTTGGTTAATCGTATTAGCCATTATATAGCTGTAACCTGTAACCTGCGGTGCTTACATCATAGACCACGCAGTCAACGCACAGTGCCCGTTGTAGAATATCTTTATATCCCAGGACTTGCCAATCCGCGGATTAAGTTCAACCCCATTATAGATATCAGTTAAGGGGTTTCCTATGCAGTGTCAGACACAAAATATAATCGGGGCTTGGCTTAACATACCACTGAATCTTCTATCTTTAAGGTGAGACGGAGCTATATGCGCTTTTATAAATGCCAAAACTGCAAATGTCCAAGCATAATAAGCCGTGACTGTCAGAAACTGACCCCAGTTTCTTGCAATAAAGGCCATATTAACCGCCTGTATTAACCATAGAAATGTGGCGAGTATCATGGTCACAAGCCAACAGCTGAACCCATTAATTTTGTAGAGGAGCCGTTGTCCAGCTGGAGTTGGCTGGCCTATGCAGACTTGTCCCTGAATCGCCGTATATAACAGGGCTTGGACTACTATCCAAGCAGTAAATATAAAGACAACACAAGGCTGAGGCGGCTGGTAAATGAGAAAAATGACCGATGGCTCCAAATATATGCGGCGTAAGGTATGCAAGAGTGAACCTCCATAGAATTCCAGCGATATCCACCAGATAGAAATTATGGACGGAAGAAATATCATAAGAGTCAAACTGAATATGCCAGTCACGATACTTCGTAAATTAATCTTGTAACCAGACTTTATGGCATGTTGCGATGTTTCTTTAACTCTAGATTGCTCGCTCCGGCTATCGCCATTTGTAACCGGTCTCCTAGAGGTGCTCATATTTGCATGAAAGTGAGAAATTTATTCTCGACAACTATCGAGGCTGAGCCCAAGGGGTATTTCCAATGACTTAGATGTGGAGGTTCCAGTATCCGTCAGCATACTCCGTACCCACCCTTAAAAATATAAGCATCCCAGAGACATTCCCGCATAAAGGTGCAACGATATCTTAATTTTGAGCTGCCTTAAACATCTTTCGCGATTCGGTATGCATCAAGGCGACGGGCGCTAGTTAGTGGATTTACATAGCCTAGCGCGTGGGATTTCCCTTGGATTTGCTGAGGACGGCGATCTGGATATGCCTGGGCTCCGTGCTCATAAAGTTGACACCGAGGATCTGTGGCTTGAGGACTGTTTTTGGTCCTATTCCTCCTATCTTCGTTCCAGGTGTGAATGCTATTGGCTCCACGTATGAGTTCCTGCACTATGAAATCGCATTGTCTGCATATATTCACTAGCAAAAAAATGGCAACTCTGAGGAGTACGCAGTACTATGCACGAACAGTACTCCGTAACTACTCGTGTGTTTTTGATGTTGAAAGAGACTCTCTTTGATTTGACAATAAAATTGCCTAATAAGGTATAGGGCAAAATACACGCCAAGACTTACCTAATCAAAGCTAAACTCGATTAAAGTTAAGGCGCGAAGTTTATATTCCTTCCTCTTTTGGAACTTTATACGGATACTCCACGGACCTAGGGTTTTTTCGGTTTATACATCTTTTACTACTTAGAAAACATCGTGTATACAGTTTATATATGCATGTATACTTGAGCCACACGCACGCCTCGATGCTGACAGGGCCCTCGCAGCCAGAAATTTCTCACCAGAAGTTCATCACGGCTGAGTCACATCTAAACTATACACAATCCCAGATCTAAAGGTCTATACGAATATTGGCGGTATAGAAGTTGCTACTGTTCTGCAAAATGGTTCTGGAAAAGCAGTGTTATTTAGTACGCGCCGAATTAGACGTTCTGCCTATTCGTGAAAAAACTGAGCTTCCGTTTGCCAACCATATCTTGCTTCTACATCATGTATTCCTACCCCCGGCGCATTAAGTGTGCCGTTGGTTATTGACCCAAAAAGAACGGTTAGACACATAATGATGATAAACTCGAGTGAAGGGGCAAATTAGTGCAGACCTTTCCCAATATAAGCTGGCCCATACTGGCGGTCTCTTCGCTAGCACCGTGCAGACGAGTATTATTTGGCGAGTAGTTTTGGAGGGAAATATGGATGGCATTGTTTGAAAAGAAATTGAGGTCCACTTGATGCTCAGCGCTGTAAAGACCTCGAAAGAGACCCTAGAGGGCTGATACTAGTATATGTTTCACCTGTTTGATCTGCTGGTATCATTTTCTAGGTTGAGTGATTATATACCAACCCCCTCAAAGGGAATAACTAGAAGGAAAATCTGCACAGAGGCAAGAGGAATAGAGCTCTAAGGTGTGGATGAAACTGAATCGAGGAGTCCTGCAAAAATGGTATCCTATCAGGGGGTAGTAATCTGTATGGAACAGCATGTAGCAAGTATATCAACGCCTGATAATTGTATTATAATTGTATCTAGGCATTTGTCGTGGTTCGCCGCTCAGCCTTGCGCAATATGATGCACCCCTTCACGCAAGACTGACCGTATCCTTGTCGTTCCCCGTGGTAAAAGTGGTTGTGTGATGAGACTGAGTATCCTGGCAGCTCCAACAGGGCGTGTTCCATCCGCTAGGTCTAGATATAGCCTGTATATAAGCCCGTACGGTATAGTTAGGTCATATAACCAGAGATGGGTATTCCACTTAAAGAAACAGATAATGCAATGCCGCGTGTGTGTCCGTGAAATTGCAGCAATGTTGAGACGACGGAGTTGGTGATTACATAAGCATTTTAGTAAGAGCGGAACTCTCCCCACAACCTGCCAGCCATTTTGAACATCCATACAAGTTCCTGCAGCTTCATGTCGATGTTCATAAGCGACGATTGGCAGTAGGTCGGTTGATGGCATGCGTGGAGGCTTTGTTTCGCGGTTTAGATGGATGCTGCACGATATTCGCTCCGTCATGACGCCCCCGCCTTGAATCTCGACTTCGCAATATCCGTACTCACCTGATATACAGTGTTAACCACTGCTGCCTAAGGAGTCAAGGTATATCTGTACGAACGATCGCGCGATGGATGCCGTATACACAACCCTCTTAAACGACCCGCTGCTGAAGGTTAGCCGCCCTATTGCAGCCTGCTCTAGATGCCGGTCATCCAAGGTCAGGTGTGATGGCAAATTGCCGGCTTGTTCGGCGTGTGAGCGAGCTGGTAAAGCGCGCAGCTGCTCCGGGGCTACAGACGAGTTCGCGAAGGGAAAAGAACGAAGCTATGTTGCTGCCCTGGAGGCGCAGTGTGAGCGTCTAAAGAACAGGCTCGCGGAGCTGCGTGGTAGCCAGCCGGGAGACTCGCCAGATAGCCAGGGGACGACGAATGCAGTTTACGGCAAGGAAACGTCTGATATCGATGATTTAGTTGGGGATTTTGGATTCTTGTCAGTATATGCACTTGAGATAGAGTGTTTGGTCAATTTTTGAAGGCGCAGACTATCTAACCTACCCTTGATATATAGATCTGTCAACGCGACATCTCGAGATTTCTATGGAATTACGTCTTCGACCTCCTTCGCCGGCCTCCTCTTAACCGTGGCAAAGGGGCCGTCTTCCATACCTCCCCACCCACCGGTTGAATATCCGAGTCGAGCAGAAGCCGTGGGCCATGTTCAATACTACTTCGACAACCTCTATGTCTTGATGCCTTTCCTCATGGAGACCAAGTTCTGGGCGTCATTGGATAATATATACCATGATTCAGGCAGATTCGCAACAAGTTTCGACCATTGGTCTATGCGAATGGTGTTGGCGATATCGTCGGCAATGAAGTCTCGCACCCATGGAGATGCGGAGTGCGAGGCTGCTTTGTCCCATGTCTACGCTGCACTAAAGTACGCCGAAGACGTATTACACCCAGGATCGCTTGCTGGGATACAGTCTATTCTACTTCTGACCCAATTCTCTATGTTCGCGCCTAAATACTTTAAGACGTGGTATCTGATAGGCATGGCAAGTCGGGTGGCCACTGATTTGGGGATACATCAAGAGCAACGGTCAATAATAAATATGGACAGCGCAGCTTTGAATCAATCTAGAAAGACGTTCCACTGTCTTTACTCTATTGATAGGTATGTGACTCTTACCGTCAGAGAATTCTAACGCTCGTAAGCTAAATAACTTCTCTAGATACGTCAGCGGAGCCTTGGGTCGCGCTTATTCGTTCTCTGATGACTCCGTCAATGTACCTCTTCCGCCGGTATCACCCTCTTCCTCCAGTACAATAGTTCTAGGAGACGCCATGTTCCCCAAAAATATCAAGGCAGCCATCCGCTTATTTGAAGTTCGACGGAGGCAATCCACCTACTACCAAGACCTCTATTTCAACGGGAGAGACGCTCTTCCCGATTCCGAGAATGTTTCCTGGAGACGCTGCGCAATCCTCATGGAGTGGTTTGAGACAGCCCGGGGCGACCTAACTCCCCGATTGATACCGCTATACCACCTTGAACTACTATATACCCTAATACTAGTGCTCTCTCCCTCCAAGCGAGCACCAGTAATCAGCAAGATCAACCGAATAATCTTGTTCGAGTACGCTATCGAATATCTCACGAATTTTCACACTCTGCTTAACTCGTCCCTCTATGTGCCAATGACTTATATCGACTTTGAGCGGGTATATACCGTTGCATGCATACTGATCGTCATCGTTAACCACTACCATAACGAGGTGCTCAGCGACACACTGCCTGAGTACTTGATGCAGTCACCTTCCCCGCCGGGAACTTCCGAGGCACCAATGCCACCGTATGTAGACAGAGCGAAAAGAGTCAACTCGACGACGAGAGCGTTAGAATCCCTTGCCAAGACAAATTCAGTTCTTGAAACCGCACATAAGCGATGGGGTATACGAAGCCTTCTAGACGATTTTAAGGGGCGTGTGGACTCTGCTACCACTATACTTTCATTCAAGTATGGGGAAGACCAACTGGCTGGCTCTTCCATGCAGCAATCTTCTCTGAGCCAGCCGATCAACTCTAATGGAGGGCCTACGACGTCGGGTTATGTTTTGCCTCGACGAAGCCATTTATCCGGACGACCCTCATCATACAACGGCGACTAGCGACTACCCTTAACAGGCTCATATAACCTGCATGCAGACATCTTATATATCTAAACCCCGAATTTCATCGTATCGACCATTCACTGGCATGATGAGTTTTTGTACAAAGCTGCCGCCCAATATGCATAACAGAACTCCCGCATCCACTTACCTTAGCGTACGACCCTTATGACATTTTTTTTAAACATCAATCTGCTGTAAACCGTCTTTTGATAAGAGAACGAGAATGTCGATATCCAGCGTTAAAGACAATCACTAGATTTAAGTGAAGTAATAAAGATATATCAATAAATATAAACAGCTGATACCTCGTAATACCCAGTAGAAAATAGGAAAAGAAAATATAGGAGGCCAGAAAGAAACCATAGTATAAGGGTATATTAGGAAAATCACGATGTTTGCCACTAATAAATTCGTTGCATCAAGGTGAGCAGCAAAGAGAGAGAAACCATGAGCCTGAAGTAGTATACGCCGCAGTAAATTTGCTTGCAAATAACACGATACTAACCAAGAGATCAGCCAACGCCTTAAAAAACAAAATCAGGTATCACACGTCAAAAATAATCAGATCATCGCTGAAATTGACATCGATACGTGGTTCAGCTGGTATCTTGGGCGCAGACACTGGACGGTTGACACGCGTTCTGGCCTTCCTAACCACTCTCGCCCGACGCCGAAGTAGTCTGGCATGCCTAACAGCCTTGCGGCGCCGGTCAAGCACGATCTGACTCTGTTCGCACGGCCCAAGGATGGACGCCGCATCAGGAGGCACGACGACATATTTACCCATCTTCAGCTTGCGATTCTACAAGGTCAAATTAGTCTTTCATATCGTAGAAACGGTCAGGTTGACTCGGACATATCATCTTCTTTACACGTTGCTTCATACGAGGCCGTGCTGTAGCAGCAGGGCCCATCCCCTGGATGATAGCCGGCATACCAGGGCCGCTATGCTCGACAAGCGAGGCACCAACATCAGTAAACGCCTCGTCGGTACAAATGTTTTCCAAACTACCAATCTCCCACGCGAGACGCTGCCAGTCATCCTCCGTCATGGCATCAGGCGGCCTCGCGTTCATCCACTCACCCACCGACGGACCAAGATTACCATCCAACACGGCCGCAGTGACTTTACTAGCGCAGTACTCGCTGAAGAACTCGACGAGGTGCGCACGCGTCCATCCCTGATAGACATACCGACGGCTCTCCGGGTTAAAGGTGGTGGTTGGCATGGGAAGCTTGTTGTTAACAGTCAGTATCTTGTTAGCGAGCACATCGTCGATGCCATCTATCTGTTTGCCGTGTATGAAGCGGTTGAACTGCCAGATGATTTCGAACTGGGTGGAGTCGAAATCCTGGTCGACGTACGGGGTGTAGAAGAAGGTCGAGGTAGGGTTAGGCAGCCAGTCGGGGACGACTAGCTGTTGTTTGTCCTGGTTGGTATATAGATAGTAGTCTCCTAGACCGACGACCATCTCGCGGAGGGGTATGGCCACGCCCAAGGGCCCGAAGATGCGGATCTTCTTTGACGAGAAGAGGCCGTTTGAGAGCGGACGTAGGATGGTCTTGATGACAGCTGTTTCTTCTATGTTGGCGTCTCCCACGACGAAGTGGGGGTTCAGTCGAACGCATTCCCGTTGTACCGGCATTTCAATCAACAATATCAACAATATCAAGTGTCGTTCAAACAGTGTCGTATCAACAGTGTCGTATCAACAGTGTCGTATCAAATGTTCAAGTTCAGCATCCAAGTAACAAAGTGGTATCAAATCCAAGTACGAGGCTGGAACTTGAAGCATGTAAGAGTGTAAGAAGAGGAAGAAAGAAGAGGAAGATTGCCAGCAGCAAGTTCCTGGATATAAGTCATTCACACATCCGACGAAAGGAATGAATATGCCCTCTTCCAGTGAAGAATGCAGGACCAGACGAATCCAGTTAATGTTTTCATGTTGCCTAGTCACTAGACTATACTTTGTATCTAGGCAGGTTATTCACAGTTATCTCAGTGACAGTGACTGCTACATATACTATCTAGTATATACAATGTGAATAGAAGAAGAAGGAGAAGAAAAGAGTATATATTACATAAGCCATAAGATTACCACGTGACAATGCCCTTGAGCTGCATAAAGAGGGACAAGAAGATGAAGATGTAGATGTAGATATACGATATAGAAGAAACGGGAGATAGATGAGTGGACTACCTCGTATACGCTCATATCGTCTACCCGGTCAAAGTATCATCGGCGTCCTCCGCTGAAACCAAACCAAAGACTGTAAACGACGAGCTGCCGAAACGAGGGTGGGGTTATTAACCAGCATATAAGAACAGCCATCTACATACAACTCTCATACTCTCATCTACATATATATACTCTCATATATTCTTCTTCATATACTCTTCATCTACATATATATATTCTCATATACTCTCATCTATATATATACCATGCCTAACCGTGTCATCATCGACACCGACCCGGTAGCGTCCTCCTCGAGACATAGACATAGACATACTAACCTCTACAGGGCGTCGACGACATCCTCGCCCTGCTGCTCGCCTTCTCCTCCTCCGCAGCCGAGATCGAAGTCCTCCTCGTCTCGCTGACGTTCGGCAACATTGAGATCAGAAAGTGTGTATCCTCCTTATAAGACGGACTACTATCCTCCCTTTGTCTTCTACTGACAGGATAGATGTCTTCGCAACGCCGTCTCGGTATTCCACGTGATTGAGAAGGAGATGGCCTGGCGTCGTGAACGCGGGCGGGAAGAGGGCTTCGAGGCGCTGAAGGCATGTAAGCCGGTAGTCGCTGCGGGTGCTGACCGGCCGCTGGATAGCGAGCTGGTGCTTGCCGGCTACTTTCACGGCGAAGACGGGCTGGGGAACATCCATACAAAGGTCAGTATATCTCTATCTATATCTATATATATGTGTCTATATACTGAGTATGGTAGCACCCGCATCTATCGGCCCACGAGGCGTACGAGGCCCTGTTCGCGCCCGACTCGGCCGACGGGACAGCAGCAAGCGTGCGGGAACTGAACGCGGACGAACCGCAGCTGTACACCCCGTCCAGGGAGCTCGCGCACCGGGAGATGCTGCGACTCCTACGCGAGAACGAGCCCAACACCATCACCATCGTGGCCGTTGGTCCCCTGACGAACCTCGCCCTCGCCGCCGCCGAGGACCTGGACGCCTTCCTGCGCGTCAAGGAGGTCGTCGTCATGGGCGGCGCCATCGACGAGCCAGGAAATGTATGCCCCCTCTTCCTCTATATCTATATCTACTTCTATATATGTATGTCTAACAGAGTAGGTAACGCCGTTTGCGGAGTTCAACGTGTTCGCCGACCCTGTGGCCGCGGCGAGGGTGTTTGCCCTCACCTCCCCGCGCCCCCGGATCCCCATGCCCGTCGTCTCCGAGTGTTCGACGCTACAGAGCCAGCCCCCAGCCAGGCTAAGCAACCCGCTAAACCTCAAGATGGCGCCCCTGGACCTCACGCACCAGCACAACTTCACGCCCGCCGCCTTCCGCCCAGCCGTCGCCCCGCTGGTACAGGCAGCGTCACCCCTGGCCCAGCTGGTGCCGACGGTGGTAGAGCACACGTTCGACATGATACGCCATCTCCGACTACTTCGGGCAGGCAAGCAGATGGACGACGAGGAGACGGACACGGAGATGAGCCTGCACGACCCTGTGTGCGTGTGGTATGCCCTTCACCAGGGACGAGGGTGGGAGTGGGAGGAGCGAGACGTGCGGGTGGAGACGACGGGCCAGTGGACGCGAGGGATGACGGTGGTGGACAGGCGGACGGGGAGGAAGAAGGTCGACGTCGAGGAGGAAGAGGAAGACGAGAGCGACCGGGGCGGATGGCTGGGGGTCGGGGGCAACCGGGTGGGCGTCCTGACGAGGTGCCCGGACACGCTCGCCCACGACCTCCTCGCGCGGGTTACCCCTACTCTATAACCCTTAACCTTGACACTATACTATATCTATATCTATATCTATAGTCACAACACTGAACATAGACAGACAGACATAGACAGACATAAACAAGACAGACATGCATAAGACATACATACAGACAACATATGTAGACAGACAAGAGAAGAGTGAGTAGGCACGTGCCCTTAGAGTATAGGCAGGCAGGATAGGTACATGGCCCGCCGCAGTAGACTTGGGGGCGCGGCAGGTACCTCTCCAACCCCAGGATGCGCCAGGATGTGCAGCCAACCAGCGTCCTCCCCGCGTCCATGTGCAGTGCTTCCTCTCTCGGGCGTCTGTCAGCCAACCGTTGGCAGCACGCGACAGAGGAAGAGGAAGAGGAAGAAGGAAGGGAAGAAGTTGATAAGAAGCCTCCCTCCTCTACACACTCGACATGCACATATACACCACACACGGTATACACACGATACAGTATACGATATAGTATACAGAAGATACAGTACTGTATAGGGTAGAGAATGCCAAAACCACGGATGCCGCTGACACCGGCGTCGTCGACCGATATCGCGGCGATGGACAAGGCCTCGCTGGCGCCCGTGGACGAGCTGTTCGCCCTCCCGCCAGCAGCCATCCACCATCATCAACAGCATCAACCGCCATCGCCAGCATCGCCAGAGGTGGCAGACTCGCGCCTGCGCCAGCGGTCGACCAAGCGACAGGCCGAGTTCAGTCTCCCTCCACCGCCCACACGCACCCGCAAGATCATCCAGGTCAAGCCCAAGACGGCCGCCGTGCCCTCCTCGCCCAGCAAGAGAGAGGAAGACGAAGACGAAGACGAAGAGGAGATACCGGCCGGCGGCAAGAAGAGAGCCAGCGCAGCCACGGCGGCGGGGAGGAAGATCGCTCGACGCACCGCTCACAGTCTCATCGAGCGCCGGCGACGGTCCAAGATGAACCAGGAGTTTGCGACCCTCAAGGACATGATTCCCGCCTGCAGAGGGCATGAGATGCACAAACTTGCCATCCTACAGGTACTTCCATCACCCTCAATTTATTACGTTATGATGCTAACTGGAACAGGCGAGCATAGAGTACGTGAACTACCTGGAAAGCTGCGTCAAGGACCTCAAGGCCGCCAACCGCGACGACACGCCGACTTCTCCAGCCTGGCAGCCCTCCATCCCCTTCAACGCCAGTGAGAGCACATACTCCGTCTCCCCGGACATCGATCCCCTGTCCACTTCCACCATGCCCTCGCCCGCCCAGAGTGCGAGAGACTGTTCCTCCCGGGCCTCGTTTGAGATCATACCCATGGTCCTGCCCTCTCCCGCCTTGCAGCCCGCCAGACACCCGCAGCACGCCCACGTACGCACATACAGCATGTCCACCTCAACCACCACCTCGCCTCTGCTCGTGCCGCAGCAGCAGTCGAGCCAGCAGGGTCAGCAGGGTCAGCAGGGTCAGCAAGGCCAGCAGAGTCCGGATGAGGTGGCGGTTCAGGATACGGATATGGACCGCGAAGCTACCACGGCCCTGCTCATGCTCACTAATGATAGACGCCACTCGAATACCATGCCCTCCCCGACCATCTGGCCCAGAGCGAAGAGGAAGATGGGCATGAGTGTTCATGACCTCCTCACCCATTGATCTTTTCTTTCTTTTTTATGTCTTTCTTTTCTTCATGTGGTGGCTTCTTGAATGGGCGGCGTAGGGAATAATGGGCGGCCTGGATGGTTTAGTTACGGCGGGGGAAAAGTGCTTATCTCGTCTGTCTTGTTGGTTATAGATAGACTCTATACAGTCGTCTCCATCTCATAAAGGTATCATCATCGTCATCATACACTCGTCATCTCATCTCATACTATAAACATCATCCAACCACTCCTCCACCCTCCGCCGCGCCCTCTCCTTCTTCCGCACCTTCAAGTCCGGCGCCCGCTGCCAGCACAGATCATCCTCATCATCCTCAGGCACCACCCCCTCCCCAACCCGAAACACCCCTTCGCCCAACTTCAACACCTCCTCCCGCCGCACATCAACAGCATCAAACGTCCCTTTCTCAATAAGGTAGGCGTCTATATTATGCTTCGTAAACGGTATATTCACCTGCTCCCCTTCCCCGCCAGAGCTACGCAGACGCATACGCTCTCTCAGCGGCTGTAGGATGTTCGATATACTGCATTCTCTCTTCGGGTCTTCATCGGACTTGGACGGGGACTTTGCTCTCTCTTTTCCTTTCCATTTGCCTTTGCCCTTCCCCTTCGCAGCTGTGGGCGTGGGTTTGGATGTCTTTGATCCCGTATTTTGGCCGGATCTAGGACTTCCCTTGGGAGATGCAGATGGAGGTGCAGGCGGAGGTGGAGATGTCTTTGCGCCTCTCTTCGGTCTTCCCTTCTTACGGCTCTTGGCGCATTTCGCTTTGATCGCGGAGGTAACCTTCATCGTAACCTGGTATACCTCGCCCTCTCTAGTATGGTATATAGTTTGCAGTATGGTATATAGCTCGTAGGTTGCAGGCTGCGGTGACACGCCATTGGTCGATGTCAGTGTATCTGCATGGCGTATGTGTGGCCGTGGACATGTTCCGTGTCGTATATGTACGGTAGATGCAGGCCAACTGTTTACGCATGTGTTTGTTTACTTGTTGTATGCTTGAAGCTTGGGAAGGTGAAAGGCAGATGGTCACGAGACTCAGGTCACGAGGGCCACGTGAGATGGCACGCTTCCCCACGTGATGTATACATACTTCCACTTCCAAGGTTAGGCTTATGCGATGCCAACTTATCAACTACAACTATCAACTGGATATCAACTATATTAATGGGAGATATCATTATAGTGATACTTGCGGTCTATTTCACATCCAGGACGCTCAGTTGGCGACCGTGGTTCCCACGTGTAAGTCTTGAACGGACATAGATTCTCTTACCTCCCTACACAGCCAATTCGTCCACCAGAGAATACCATTCCATGCTAGCAAGTTATACCACATTCTCCTGTCTAGCTATTCTTCAAAGCATAATATACGGACGCAGTGAGTCATCGGTAGATTGCTAAACAACACCGAACTGAACAGTGGCTTGACATTCTATACTTTAGTATATGGTTTGGCGGCTCGGCCCGCGCATGGGCGTCCCTTAGGTTAATGTGGGGCGTTTTGAGGCGCAAGCTTGGTACATGCTTCGTATAACCCTTCACATTTCTTTTTTGATAGCGATAAATGCATTGCCTCTGGGCGAAATTAGGTATTTCTATATAGTTGTACGTATATATTGGCTATACGGTCGCATAGCTGACACTTTCTTAGGCCTATGAATCTAAGTATTTACACAACTCAATTAGTTCCTTATCGAAATCTCAACAAACACATTTCTCCAGCATATGGTACTTATTGGAAAATATTTATATACTACCAAACTGCTAGCACTAACGCACTGGCCACCGAGGCACCCACAACTGCCCACCCAATCCTAATAATCTGCGGGTTGCTATCCAATGTCTTCGCAAAGGCAGAAACAGTATATCTTACTCCCGCAAGAACGTGATAGGTAAACGGCCACGCCATGCAAAACTTAGCTGCTACCTTAGCAGCAACAGGCAACGCGCCGAACGCGGCAACCATACTTGCTGTCGAAAGGTCCCAGCCTAACAGGGGTGCAGCAACATAGGCGCTACCGAAAACATACAGCGATCCAGCAAGCATTATACCGGTGAGACGTTCCATGGCGGAGCTGACGGAATTGATTTGCCATTTGTAGATGCTTAGATGCGGGGCGACTGGGCGATTAAGGCGTTGTTTGGCGAGGATAGACGTAGATTTTACATCGAGCTTCGGTTTGGTTGATTGGTGTCTTATTTGGCATATATTGGTCAGCGATTAGGAAAGACTGTAGTTAAGGGTAAGCCTGAGCCCACCTGGTTTGAATGGCTCCAGGGACAACGGCATTGCTAGTGTTCCTTCCTGCTGCTTGCCACGAGGCACGCAGAATGATAGGCATCGACACTAATGGACAAAGTTAAACGTCAGTTATCGCTGGGAGAACCCTGAGCTCGCTAACGCTATCAGTAGTAAAAGAAAGGCAGGCCATACTCTTCTGGAGCGCAATCATGCTCCGTTGTACATGCATTGATCTCATGTCAAAGTTTTGAGTGTTTAAAATAGTAGAATAAGGTCGAAGAGGACCTTAACTACAAGTCACCGGGCATCGGGAGTAAAGGTGAGCCATAGCCGCCATTCCGGTTTCAGCCTATGGTACGGAAATCAATCCCCGAGCTCAAACAGCGGAGTCATCTTTACCAATGTTATCACAGGATAACATTTCGTTGGTCTTCTAGCAATGAGCATCAAGACAAGTTATCTTATCCAATTAACACCCACTACTTCATATAGCCGTCTGCATCTTGTTGATAGAAGCCTGAGTGTTAAAACCGTTGGCGAATATTCCGGGAATATAGTTACTCCGTGTAATCAGTCGATACCATGTACGTGAACGCCCTGATATCAATCATTCTATTGGCTCATTATAATGATATATAAATTTCTGTAATGTTTTAAATTAGTGGCTGACTACGTAATCTCCTACCCAGATAACGTAATCCACATGCGAGCCGGCCACCCAAGCGAGCCGGCCACCAAATTCAAACGCGTACACTTTTTAACTAATTAACAACTTTTATACGCGATAATGCCACCAATTTATAACAAAAATAATAGAAACTCTATAGAGATAGAGGGAAAGACTAAACTTATAATTCTTACTTTAAAAAATAAAGAAATTATCTTTATTTATAAAGCTATATATTAATTTAATATACTAAGATTAACTCTTATAGATTAATTTAAAGGCCACCCTTTATATACAAATTTATATATAAACTTATATAAATTAATAAATACTAAAGAGGAATTATTTATTTAATAGATTCTAGACCTAAATAAATAAAGACTACTACCCTAGCCTACCTTTATTAAGAATATAGCTAATTATCTTCTTTCTATATAAGAGTCTATATTATTACCTCCGCGAGTTAGTAAAAACTAGGTCTTAAATCTAGTAAAGCGCTATATAGAGCTCTAAAGTTAATACTTAAGACATTATAACTATAAATAGACTAAATATAAAGATATTAAGATTATTTAAGAATGGTTTAATTAACTAAATACTACCTTTACTATATATAGAATTTAATAAAAAGATATCTATAACTTTAATAAAACTAGATTTATAATAGGACTCTATATAACTATAAAAGTTATTTCTAGCTCTAAGAAATATAGCTATATAAAGCTCCTATAGTCTAGAAATTAAGAATAGGTTATAGTTATTAAATTAGTGAACGCGTCTGGTTGGGATTTACCTCCATATATTATTCTTAAAGGCCAAAATACTTAGAAAGGTGTCACAAGCTGACGGCGCTCCTTGATTATCTAAAGGTGATCAGAGGTTCATATCTGCTGTAAGACAGAAGATATAGAGGTCTTAAGGAAAGCTTATGTTGGAAGTGAGTCGTTATAGAAGACAGCTTAGTATTAGAGTAAAATAGAATACTATAGTAAAACTATCCCTTAGTTCTAAATGTGGCTTTAGTTAGTATCTGGGTCAGATAAAGGCTAAAGGTCCTTATGAGTAGTAAAGACAAAGTTAACCTATATTAATAGACAAAGAGGTATTTGGTAAATATAGTATAAGATAACTAGAATGGTGCTTTGTATTAAGTAGTATAGTAAAACTATAGCTAGTTTAATCGTGAGTATAAGACTCTTAATTCTAAAGTAATGAGCGTCTTTATATATATAGTATATATCTAGTAATAGGTATAATAGTTCTCTACTAAGGGGTTCCTATCACTTCTATTGGTTATTGTGATAGTATTAATAGGAAGCTGCCAAGCCTGTCCTATCAGTTCTATCGCTATTGGTCACGTGACTAGTGCCCTCAAGGTCTGGCCCGTGATCCTCCCGTCCAATGAGTGTATATCCTGGGGCTGCGCCGCAGGTGGTCTGTAACATCAGGATGGTTTGATAGGCTTCCAGATAGCTAGAGATTTAATATCAGTCCTAATAGTTAGATAATAGATGAGATTGGGCTTAAATAGCTTATAAAGATATTTATTCCAACTATAAATATATAAAAAAGAGGTAGTTATTCCTTACTTATATTAAATGGTTATAGAAGCTATTTTATACCTGAATTCAATTGACTCTATATAGAGAATAATATTATTCCTCTCTATATGCCTCCTTATTCTTTACACCTCTTATAGCCTTTAGATATAAGCATTTTTACTGTCCTAAAGTGTCACAAGCTGACGGCGCTCCTTGATTACCTAAAGGTGATTAGAGGTTCATACCTGCCGTAAGACAGAAGGTACGAAGGTCTTAGAGAAAGCTTAAGTTAGAAGTAAGTCATTATAGGAGATAGCTTAGTACTAGGGTGAGATAGAATACTATAGTAAGACTATCCTTTAGTTCCAAGTGTGGCTTTAGTTAGTGCCCGGGTCAGATAAAGGCTAAAAGTCCTTATAAGTAGTGAAGATAATATCGGAGCGCGCTAATGATCGGTACGATTATGGCGTCTCTACGGGACACAGCGGAACGGCAAATCAATGTCTATAAGCCCAAGATACAATAGCAAAGAGCGAAAAATAGGCCTAATATCGATGAATGATGATGATAACTAGGGAAACAGGCCATATCTGGCCTCTATATATGGGGGAAGGCGTAGCGTACGTACGAGCCGTAATCAAACAGATCTGCAGGGGGGGAGTGGCGTTGGCCTGATACTGCCAAGACGCCGTACACACGAAGATTCTGACATACCCCCCTAGGCTCGTACGGGACGTACGATTTGGAACACGTCTGGGTGAACCATCGAAGAAAATGGCTGTTGAAGCCGTTATACGTACAAATATATCAAATATAACATAGTAGGAAATGGTAATGAGTGTGGTTATCCGTCAAATGTGTCGGACGTGTTTGAAGTTGAGCAGCGCAACGAATCTTGCAAATTTGATACGGTCCAGCGTCTTGCTGAGGCCGTCGGCAACATTGTCTGCGGTATTAACGTATCGTAGGTGCAATACGCCTTCGTCAATATATTTCTTAGTGAAGAAATAACGGTTGTCAATCCAGCGAGTAGTGCGTCTGTAAGGGGAGCCATTGATCACGGCCATACCGTTGATACTATCAGTTTGCAGCGTTGTAGGCGTATTAAAAGGTAGACTTAGTGATTTAAGGATCTTGTGCAGCCAGAGGATGTCCTTTACGGCTGGATCAAATGCCAGGAACTCCGCGATGGTGGATGACGGTGCGATCAATGATTGTTTCCGTGATGCCCAAGATACTGCGCAGCCGGCGTAAAAAAATATATAAGACTCCGTGTAACGGCCGTCTTGTTGGTCTCCGGCATCAACAAAGGCTTGTAAAGCCTGTTCAGGGTGTTCACCAAGCATCAGTGCCGCGGTGCGTTGGCCGGCGAGATATTGTAATATACGCTTGGCCCAGTGTAGGTGAGATAGGGTGACATCGCCGATCGAGCGTTGGAGTTGGCCAAGTGCTTGACATATATCAGGTCTTGTTTTTATAGCGAGCCAATTGAGACCACCCAATATTTGCTGGTAAACGTTTTTCTGAGATGGGTCCAGAGGCGTGTTCTGTGTGATGACCATTTTTATTTCCATTGGCGTTTTGATACCGTGTGCATGCTCCATACCGAACTTCGCCAGCAGTTTTTCTGTATAGGCATCTTGTGAGAGTAATATGACCCTTTTGTCGCGGATACGCTGTATTTTGCAGCCAAGAAAGTACGCAGGCTCCCCCATATCCTTAATAGGGAACACCTTGCCTAAACGGCATTTGAACTCAGCTATGATATCCTTTGTTGGTGCAGCGATCAATGCGTCATCCACGTAAATTAGTACGAGGAGGCCATCGGGCCTCGTGAACACGCATGGATCGTTTGTTAACGGTATCAAGCCCAATTCGTTCAACTGCTTGGTGAACTCCTCCTGCCAAAGCATACCTGACTGTTTGAGGCCATATAGCGCCTGGAGAAGTAAACAGGCGAGTTCTCCGCCTGATGGGTCGTAGGCTTGAAAACCGGTGGGCATTCGCGCGTATATCTTGTGTTTCTTCAATGCTACATGCAAGTACGCAGTTATGATATCCGCCTGTTCGCACTCGAGGTCTTCTATGGCTATCTTCGTAAGAGATAGTTTGATGTAAATCTCATGGACAACGGAGGACGCCGTTTCATCAAAATCAAGCCCTGGCCGCTGCCAATTGCCGCAAACAACCCATCTGGCTCTGAAATCTGTCGCGTACCCGTCTGCATCCTTTTTCATGTCGTATACCCATTTGCCAGGTAACATTTTGGCATCCTCCGGGGGCTTAGTAAGGGACCATGCTTTGAGCGTATTCAATTTGGCGATCTGCTGCTCCATCGCGGTCCACCATTCGGCTGCCCGTTCGGATCTCATTGCCTCTTTGTAGGTGGTTGGCACTGGTATTTTGTGTGCTAATATCTTTTCTGTGAGGGCATAGGATCCCCCTTCGTAGCGCTCTGGTGTTTTGCCCTTGTTGCTGCGAGCAGATACTCGGATAGGGCGCGGCGTTGGGTCTTCGGGTGGCGGTTCGAAGGCGCCTGGTAAGTACGGTGTTGGTGCTGGTGATATACGGGCACTGCGCCGGAGAGGCTTTGGTGGCTCCGGTGGAGCGGTAGAGGTCTTGGCGTTCGATATTTGTTCAATATTTTGGGCAGATATTTGGTCATTTGCACTTTTAGCGGCTGTTTGGCGCTGCGGCTCTGGCTCAGATAGCTCCTGATTGGTTGACCTTGTAGGCACGTGTGCGGGAGCGGATATCGGCGATGGTGATAGGGTGTGTATGCGCGTGGTTGGCTGACTAATGGCCTGCTCAAGTTCAAATTGTAGCTGCCAAGGCACTTGTTCGTTGTTCTCTATCGCGAGACGTTGACGTGATGGGACTGGCACGGCTTCATCGGGTGCCTGTTCAATCGATTGGTGTACGGCTTGGGGTGCCGTTGGGACTCGTGGCGGCGCTACTGTTGGTCCTACACATGGTATCGGATCTTGTTCCCTTGCCGGCAGGGGTGGAGGTCTTGTTTCCTCTAGGAACTTGACGTCTTTTGTGTGTATTATCTTGCCGGTCTCAGGGATCCATATTTTGTAAATGTGGCCGTTGCCAATATAGCCCACGAGCCGTCCAATCAGGGCTCGGGGATGCATCTTTTGTGATTGAACACGGTCTTCCTTGTGGATGTATACATACGCCACGCAGCCGAACACGCGGAGATGTTCAAGTGTGGGCTTGGTCCCGTACGCTTGTTCGTATGGGGACTTGCGACCATTTGTGCCCTCTGGTAGGCGGTTTAACACGTAGCATGCGGTCTCCGTTGCCCAAGGCCAAAGTTCCAGGGGGAGGCTCGCATCGTTGAGCATTACCCTACTGGTTTGTTCGATGTACGCGGCATGGCGCTCGGAGATACCGTTCAACTCAGGTGAGCGAGGTGGTGACAGTTCGATGCTGGCGCCTTTGAGCCGTATCCACGTAATGAACTGTTTGAATTCAGTGCCGTTATCACAGCGTATTTTGCGCGGGTAAGAGGTAGTCTCTGTATTCAGGTATTCACAGAGGCCTTGTAACACCTCGCTGGCCTTATCTTTGCCGGTTAGGGGGAATACCCATTTGAGCCTGGTGGCATCGTCAATTACGACGAGCATTTGGTGATAGGCTTGTAGGCCTGGTGGCTTGATTGGCACAAGGTCCATGTGGAGCTTCGCACCAAATTGTGAGGCACGTTCTTGGGGGTCTCTCGAGACTATCCTTCGTGCTTTTGTTAGTGCGCATGGCTCGCAGTGTAATTTTGTAGGGGCGTCAATGTTATTTGCCCTTGCGGCTTGGAGATGTGCTGGATATCCGCAGTGTGCAAGCCTTCGGTGCCAGGTCTCTGGTGAGATGTTGGTGGTAGGGGCCTTCGTCGCTGCATTTGCATGGATAGGATCGGGGTGTATTCTTAGCATCGTAACGCCGCCACCACAGTAAGTGTAGCCTATCAATGAATCGTCCCGCAGCGAACGTATGGTATTATCCCTTTCTGATATATAGGCACCGTGTTTTGTCTTCAGGTCCTGGCCGGATAGGAGGTTGTGTACTGCATGTTCCGCATAATATGCAGTAACCACTAATTTGTTGATGGTGCCGTTATCCATTAGGAATGGGATCACCACATCTCCCTTACCAGTCATCTCGGAGACTGAGCCCTGCCACCCGCGCACCGGGGTGCTGTTTGTTGGTGTGAAATTGACGAATGAGGCTATATCATTGCAGATAGTGTACGCGCTGCCTGTATCTGCTATCCACGTTGTGCGAGAGCTCGAATTTGGCGCTGAGTTCGCTGTTGTTATTATGTTGATATCCGAAATGTTAGGCGTCACGTGTGTTGCTGCACCAGCAAAGTTAGTAACAAATTCGTTATTTGTAACGATATTTGTAGCAACGTTTGAACCACCAACGGCCGTATCTCGCGCGGCTGTTGCGGCGTTTGGTTGAGTTGGTGTCCTCTTCGGTAAGTATGCCCATATCCATCCCCTTGAACGCCAGCCTGGTGGACGGGCGCTTGGGACTAAGAAATGACATCTACTGATTTTGTGCCCAGGGATATTGCAATATCCGCATTTGCCGTCCACCTCTTCTGGCAATGAGGCCATGAGATGTTTGACGTGTTCTTCGTGGGACGTTCCTTCCGGAGGTGCACCTTTTTTGTCCCTTCCGGGTGTTGCTCGCCGTACGTGCTTGAGGTCTCGGTGCGGCGGCTGTTATCTTCATATTATCAACTTTGGCCAGCGTTCGTGAGCAGTAGCCGAGGAATTGCTCGCGGGTGACGTCCGCGGGCTTGATTTGTTCGAGTTCGTTCATTATGAGATTCGACCATACGGTCATCTCGTCGTTGATGCCATGCACCAGGTTGTCCAGTGCATCAGCCGGTGGGAATGGGTATCCAGCTCTGGTGGCATCCACGTACAATTTGGAAAGATTTTCAACGAACTGATGCATCGTGGCATAGTCTGATCGTTTGATGGACTTCCATTTGGCCCAGTAAGATCGTGCGTCTGCAGGCCGTGTGTGGGTGAAGACCTGCTTGATGACGGTAAACAATTGATACGCCGTGTCAATTGGAAGGCATGAGTTTTGTGCTTGACGATATAAATCGAACGAGATCTGAGATGTCAGCCAATCCACGACTAGGGCGTCTGCGGCCTCCCATCTGGCATGGTCTTCGTGTCCGTCTGGGGGTCCGTTTGGTATCGATCCGTCGATCATGCAGCGTAATTGCTGCGTTCTCAGCCTTCTTTCGACATTCGTTACCCACATGTCGACGTCTCTCGCATTTGCGAGCATGGTTATACCCGCGATCGGGTTGAATTTGGCGACGTCCGGGATTCGGTGCCATTCTATTGGCTGAGTTTGGTGATCAACATCTGCAGCTGCAGCGTCCTGCAGCGGCATGCCCGTATCAGGCATCTTATTGGTATCCGGGCTAAGAGCGAGGGCTCATAACCTATCGGAGCGCGCTAATGATCGGTACTATTATGGCGTCTCTACGGGACACAGCGGAACGGCAAATCAATGCCTATAAGCCCAAGATACAATAGCAAAGAGCGAAAAATAGGCCTAATATCGATGAATGATGATGATAACTAGGGAAACAGGCCATATCTGGCCTCTATATATGGGGGAAGGCGTAGCGTACATACGAGCCGTAATCAAACAGATCTGCAGGGGGGGAGTGGCGTTGGCCTGATACTGCCAAGACGCCGTACACACGAAGATTCTGACAGATAAAGTTGACCTGTGTTAATAGGCAAAGGGGTATTTAGTAAATATAGTATAAGATAACTAGAATGGTGCTTTATATTAAATAGTATAGTAAAACTATAGCTGGTTTGATCGTGAGTATAAGACTCTTAATCCTAAGGTAATAAGTATCTTTATATATATAGTATATATCTAGTAATAGGTACAATAGTTCTCCACCAAGGGGTTCCTATCACTTCTATTGGTTATTATGATAGTATTAATAGAAAGCTGCCAAGCCCATCCTATCAGTCCTATCGCTATTGGTCACGTGACTAGTGCCCTCAAGGTCTGGCCTGTGATCCTCCCGTCCAATAAGTGTATATCCTGAGGCTGCGCCACAGGTGGTCTGTAACATTATCCCCTCCTTTTTTAACAAGTCGTCCCAACGCGCATATATATAAACCTGGTTAATTTCCCTCTCCTTGGTTTATTATTGTGTTTTCTTAAGTATGCCTCGCCATAGCTTATTCTAAGGGTGTTACTAATGTTCCAAAGTCTTCTAAAGATTCTTCCTCTATCTATACTTATGTATTAAAAGAAAATGTTATAAAAACTGGTATCGCGATACCTTCCTATTATATTTATTATTTAGAGAATAGTAACCTCTATATTATGTTATCTTATTCTACAAAGTATTTAAAGTATATCTATATAGGTCATCCTTATATTCACAATTATGCACCTTCTTTATCTAACTAGGCCAAAGTTTGGCATAAAAAGGAAAAGTTAGAGTTAAAAGAGTATAAAGCTCATAAGGAATCTTAGCAAATTTACAAAGCCTTTCAAAAAGTATTAAATAATTCTAATACCTATCTTAATTATCTTACTTATTAGTATAAGTTTCTTTAGAATTATATCAGTAAGTTTATTAAATTATCTATTAAGACTGTGGAGGAGTTAGAAAAGCTAAAGGAAGAGGAGAGTTATCTAGCTAAGCTCTAAGAGTATGACTTCTAATAGCTCCTAAGTGAACTAAGTTCTTTATCTAACCTTACTTTATTTCTAGATTCTACTCTACTAGTCTCTTCTCTTAATACTAAGTCTATTAGTAAAACTCCTTTACTAGGCGTGGTAAATCCTTTAGATATCTAGCTAGCTTATAAGTATTTTCTAAGAAGTTATATCCTTTCTATTTAACTAAGTAGTGAGTTTATCTACTAATCACTTTCTTATTTAGGATCTTTTTAACTTTATATTCATTTTCTTGATTTTCTGGTTATATTTCTGGTTTATATAGTTTAGCGTTCTAGAGTACTTTTTTAATTAGTAAGATATAAAATATTAGGTATATTTATATATATTCTAGGAGTTAGAGTTTATAATTAAGTTATCTAATTTTTTCCAAAATCTTAAATAGTTCTAGTTTCTTATGATCTAATTTGTCACTTAGTCTCAATATCTTGATATTTTATCAAAGTAGGAATACTTTTTCCCCCTTCTTAAAGTCTGGTGATTCTACGTGCTATTAGTTATAGTAGTATTTCATTCTATAGTTTAAGAATTTGAGATCTAACTATAGGTATTTATAGAGTTTATATATCTATTCTACTAAAACCTCTGCTTCTAAGGTGTGCGTTTTACCTTCTTTTAGTATTTTTATTATTTCTATTTCTCTTCTATAGTTTATAAAGAAAGGTGTTATATCTATTAAGGTATTCTTTACTCTATTATAGGCGAGCTATACTATTAGTAGTAATAAAACCCAATTATCCTATTCATAGTTAATATAGCATCTTAGGTACTGTTCCACTATTTGGTTCATCCTTTCGCTTTATCTATCTATCTACAGGTAATATACTATTAAGGCTTTCTATTTAATCCCTATTCTTTTAGTAAGTATCATCTAGAATTTATATATAAATCTTATATCTCTATCTAATATAATTTTATCCAGTAATCCTTTATCTGCAAAGACATGTCGTAATAGAATATATGCTGTCTCCAGTGTGTTACAGACCACCTGCGGCGCAGCCCCAGGATATACACTGATTGAACAGGAGGATCACGGGCCAGACCTTGAAAGCACTAGTCACGTAACCAATAGCAATAGGACCAATAGGACAGGCTTAGCAGCTTTCTATTAATACTATCACAACAACCAATAGGAGTAATAGGAACCCCTTAGTGGAGAACTATTGTATCTATCACTAGATATATACTATATATATAAAGACACTCATTACCTTAGAATCAAGAGTCTTATACTCGCGATCAAACCAGCTATAGTTTTACTATACTGCTTAATATAAAGCACCATTCTAGTTATCTTATACTATATTTACCAAATACCCCTTTATCTATTAACGTAGGTTAACTTTGTCTTCACTACTTATAAGGACCTTTAGCCTTTATCTAACCCAGGCACTGACTAAAGCTACACTTAGAACTAAGGGATATGTTACAGACCACCTGCGGCGCAGCCCCAGAGTATACGCTCATTGGACGGACAAGACGGAACGAAACAACCATGTCCCACTCACCCAGTCGCCCGACTCACTAGAGCAACTAAGAGAGCAGAGAGAGCCAGTATAAATCGCCAGGTCGACGGAGTCAATGGCGCGACTAAGCGACTCGGGAGAATAGGATATACAAGGACTTGTATATAAAGATGCTTATTACCTTAGAATCAAGAGTCTTATACTTGTGATCAAACTAGCTACAGTTTTACTATACTGCTCAATACAAAGCACCATTCTAGTTGTTTTATACTATATTCACTAAATACCCCTTTACCTATTAACGCAGATCAACTTTGTCTTCACTACTTATAAGGACCTTTAGCCTTCATCCAACCTAGGCACTGACTAAAGCCACACTTGGAACTGAGGGATAGTCTTACTATAGTATTCTATCTCGCCCTAGTACTAAGCCATCTTCTATAATAACTCACTTCTAACCCAAGCTTTCCCTAAGACCTTTATACCTTCTGTCTTACGGCAGGTGTGAACCTCTAATCACCTTTAGGTAATCAAGGAGCGCTGTCAGCTTATGATATTAATCGCCCCGACTTCATGGTTACAAAGAGGCATAATCAATTTTAACTTAATAGAGCCCCAACTTTATAGTTATAAAGAGGCAAAAGTAATTCTAACTTACTAGAGCCACCATACTATTATAGATACTCCGACCCAAGTGACTTACGATTATATATCAAGAAGAACAAAACTAGGTACGTATCACCCTACCCCTGAGAGCATACTAACTATAGGAATATACCAAAGTAAGACGAGCCAATATATCATTAGCAAGTAGACTAACCACTAACACCAACGCCTTGTTAGGGCAAATGCGACAGAAAATCATTGAGTTAGAAAAAAGAGTCGAAGAGCAACCTAACGATAAGTAGCTGGATAAAACCAACAAACAAGTAGAAGAACAATAAAGATTACTTAATGAATATAAAGATATCATCAAATAGACTTTAGAATAAGTTAAAAGTCACAAAGACGCTATTAACGTACTTAGAGTCAGAATCAGAGATAAGAGAACTACTATCAAAATCCACAAACTTGATACTTATAAAGGAGACCGCGCCAAACTAGAACACTTCCTAGGGGAATACAACATCTATTTGGCAACTAAACCAGGAGTCACTAATATAGAAAAAGTTATCTTCACAGGATCCTATATGCGAGAGGCAGCGGCAATATAGTTCAAACCATATCTTAAGGACTAGACTAATACCAAAGGATAACCCATACTATACGCGGATGTACTCAACAGCTACACATAATTTAAACAAGTACTCAGACAATTCTTCAGAGATACCGACAGAAAGAGGACCCTATAACGCAAACTATAGGGACTCAGACAAACCAGGGACGCAGCGCAGTACGCAGCGCAACTACAGCAGATCTGTCAAGAACTAGGAATCCATGACGACGAGCAGAAAATGGCTATATTCAAACAAGGACTAAAACCAGAAACCCAATATGAAACCATCAAGATGGGACCATATAATAGTTTTAAATAAATGGTTGAAATGGCAGTACGCATCGATAATCAACTCTACAACCTATAAAATATACGACAAGGAAAGAACACTTTCTAGAAAGCAAACTAATGTAAAGGGTCTAATAAACACAACGATTACGGCACTACACCTATAGAATTAGACGCTACTAAAAAACGGCCTTATAATATCAAGAAAAGCAAAAGATATAGGAACAAGAAGCTATATTTCTACTACAAGAAACCCAGGCATATCACAAAAGACTATAGGAAGAAATAAGGGGATACCAAGAAACACCTTAACACTACCACTATGTCTAAGACTAGTAGCTATAAGAAGGAATAGGGTAGAGGAGGCTACTAAGACTCACAGAACGTCAGACAATACCTTAGGGCAATAAGAAAAGTCACCTATCTATAGCCACCAGAAAATGAACTCGACGACACATATAAACAAGTACCTGATATATAGCAACAATAAGGATAGCAGAAACAGGATAAATAGATTAAACAAGGAAAATAACTAGTGTTAATATAACAGAACGCGACGATAGAATAATAAACATATGATCCAGCAACAAGCCTAAACCAAGGAATTATGACACCAAAATAAACAGACTTGGAAGAAGAAACCGAATCAGAATATAAGGATACGCAGGAAACAAATAACTAGGAAAATAAAGCACCACAGATAACATTTAAAGATAGTTATG